GAGCTCTCCCTACATCTTGACTTCAGTCAAGCATAACAGGTGTGAACCACAGAGTCTAGTTCATAAATGCTATTAAAGGTGGCTATAGCAGAGGGGTTTAGTATTGTCTGAGTGGAGGAGAGGAAAGCAAAAGTAGGAGAGGGTATTCTGGCAGGTATATTCTGCAATATGGATGCGGCATGTGGGCTGAAGTTTGTAGAGGTGAAGGCTAGGGAAGATACTGTGGGGCTGAGGAATGGATAGCAGTGGCTGAACAGGAAGCAGGATGTTTTAGTAGGCTCTCCCTGACCATTTAGTGGATCATCAATATCCATTTGACAATACTCTGGTGACTATGGCAGTGTTTGCCACACTTACAGTGTGGGCAGCCCTCACACCATGGGCACATGGGTAGAGCATATTCATGGCCATTGTTCAGGTCATGAAGAGTGATCTGCTGTCTGCCATTGGGATAGTCATTTGTTACCACACTCATGAGGCAGATGAATGGATGACCAAGAAGCATGTTGAAGTTGGTGTGCTCAATTACCTGAACCTGGAGCATGACTGGCCCAGCTCTGGAGTTGTGCCTACAGTAGTGTCCTTAGACATGTTAGCAGAGGTTATACATATCTCCACCATTTCCAAAGATATCAACTCTGTTCTCACACTTGCTTAATGTGCTCAGCCACACAATTCTGCCTTCCAAGTTTGGAAAGGATCCTTGCACCCTATGCATTTCTACAGCACTCCATCCATCAGACACTCATTTCACTAAGTCCATCAGATATGGCCACCTCTTCATTGATCATCTCACTTGTCTCTTTTGCCAGAGACAGTGGCTATGTATATCTGCTAGGTGTTCCCACCAGCTTCTGTCCTGAAGCCCCCTGGTTCATTCCATCATTGTGAGCCCCATCCCATGCAGCTTGGTCAGCATGTTCTCCTTGTCAGTATGACTTCCAGAAGGACATTCTTTGGTCATGTCAGGTCTGTCACCCAGTTACAAAGTCTTATGTGGTCATTTTGGTCTCCCCACTTGAAGAAGCATACAGATCCTTCCTCCCTGCTCCCTGCAATGTCTTTATTCCAATCTTGTCCATCACTCTCCCCACATTGCAACAGCTGCAGTATAATCTACTGTTCTCCAGCCTCCCTGATCACATCCATGACAAGTATGACATGCATCTTGCCTTTTTACTGCAAGACCCAGCAGAAGACATCCTCCCTTCTCCCTCTCCTCCATCAGAACCCCATTCACAAAGCTTTTTATTAACTTCACTGAGAGGATGAATGGGTGGGAGATGTGATTACCTATGCTCCCATTGCCCCAACACCCTAGCCCTTTGACACCTGACTCATGCCATCCTTTTCTGGAATTAATACTTCCCTGTCTGGAAACATTGTCCATCTGTCACCCCATCTTTGGATCTAGTGATGTCTCTGCCAAGATCTGACATGCATTGCTACCCCCTAATGTGATACCAGTGCACTTACTCAGGTTCTGACTCATACTGTGATATTTTGACTGACCTTGACTCATTTGTTGTCAATACTTACCAATCTTCTATGCTTGCTTACTTTTCATTTCTCACTTACTCATCATGATTACTTGTTGCTTACAGTCCTTACTCATTACTTACCAAGTTTTTGTGCCTCATTTGTCATAGGCTGCACTCCCCCCACAGTATATAAACCCCCTGTACTTAGCTACAAAAATCAATCAAGATGTCACTCAGTAATCAGTCAGTTCATCTCAGTCATAACTCATCATCAACAGTTGAGGCTCATTCAGAAGAGTCTATCTACCTCCATTCATCTGAAGTGTCATCTATGCTTGGTCAGCATTTGATTAGTCATCCTCCCACTCCTGCATAACTCAACATTGACTTGTGCCAGGACTCCTTTTGGCTGAATACCTTCACTCTATTCACCACCCCCTATCAAGTCCATATTTGTTCATCTACTCCTGCATAACTCATTGTCAACTTGTGCCAGGAGCACATCCCATTGAAGATCCTTACTCTATCCAGCATCCCCCTCACAATCATTACTCTTTCATCTTCTCCTGCATAACTCATTGATGACTTGCACCAGGAGCACCTGCTAATGAAAACTCCCCCCCACATTAGATTCTTTCTGCCCTCCAGGTTCCACAGAGGCAAACCACCACTTGCACACATTTTGTCTTTGGTGTTGGATTTGTTTGGTTTTCACCAGCTTTCCACACTTTGACTCACATCAGTGTGAACTATGGAGAGCCAGTGATAAATATGATCTGTGATGGCCCTTGGGAAGCCATTAAGGAACATGGAGTCCTGTTCTGTCTCTGCAAGCTTTTTAGTTTTAATGAGGAGAGCAGAGATCTTAACAAATTTCCACTGGTATTCTCCAAGGTTGTCCTGGTTTTGCATGGGCTTGGACTGATATTCTTCAACAAGGTACTGCAAATCTGCATGGCAGTAGCAGTCATCGCCTTCACAACCAGGACACAAGCCCTTAACTGTGACTACAAAGGCATCCCAGTCATTGGCCACAGGAGCAGCTTCCAGAAGTGTCTGCCAGACCTCAGCTTCTTCAAGGTCAGCATAGTGGATTTCAGCTCTGATCTTGCCATGGTCATTGAGAGCAGTCGGAGTACCAAGGAAGTTGATGTCTTCAAGGTAGCATGGAAGCTGCATGGGGGAATTTCTGCTAAATTTAGGTGAGTTCTGTGTACTGTGGAGTGGCATCTGAAATTGGGGATTAGCCATTGGTGTGTTCACTTGTGGCAGCAGTGCTGGATTGGTAACAGGAGGAGCAGGTATTGGCTGTGGATGCAGAGTGGGTGGTATTGTGTGTGAGCAAACTGGCAGAAGTGTTGGCAGGTTACTAATTGGCTGATTGGCGGTCTGTGACTGAGTGAGTGGTCACAGCAGTGTGGCAGATGTAGCTAGGATTCTGGGTATAGATTTGGAGGCATCAAAGAGGCAGGAAAAGGGGGGCATCAGTGATGATGAATCAGATGATGTGATGGGTGTTAAAGGTGATGGCAGGGTTTCAGGTCTTCAGGGAGTTGAGTGGATAAAGCTATTGGGAAAATCAGGGAAAGTGAGATCCAGGTGATCCAACACAATGGATATCTGATCTGTACCCATGGGATATCAGCAGGTAATTGCATGTGATTCTGTGTTGCAGGTGAAACAGAGCAGAAAAGTTGGAGTCTGACAGGTTCAGGTTGTGGAAGTGCAGGCATAAATTTTCTAGTTCAGTGCATTCAGCAGTGTGCCTGAGAAACCTTCTGGAAGCAACAGCAGAATCCCTCATGGTGGGCTCCAGTTGTAGGAAAAATCCAAGTAGCTGTATAATATGAGCTAGATGGCTTAGATAACAACAATAAAATGAAGGGAATGAATTGCTCTTCCCAAGGGATTCTGGACTGTCAAAACTAGAAGATGGGACCCTGCACTTTGTAGCAGTAGTGTTTTGTGGCATGTGTGGCATGTTCTGCAGAGTAGTACTGGCAATGCAAGTGGTGTGAGTGGTATACATAGTTTGTGCATGGCAGTTTGTGAGATGTGCAGTGTAGACAAAGTGAAAAGGAAATTCATGGTAACCTTCCAAGTGCCAAAAGGTATCATTCTGTACCTAAGTACAGGGCTTTATAGTCCAGGCAAACCCAGAACCTAAGTAAGACAAGGTACAGGTAAAGGAAAGCCATGTGACAGCACATACACATAAGACAGGGCCACAACAGGGGCCAAGGGTATACTACTAGCATAAAGGGAACAGAGACTGTGATGAAGGAAAAGAGTCTGAAAGAAAGGAAGTGACTGGAACACAGCAGCCATTGGTATAGCAGTGCACAAGAGGGAGTGAGGGCTTGGGAAGGTAGCAAGCAAACAGCAGTGGGAGTGAGTGGTCTGGGGATGTAATGATAGTCACAGAATGGTCAATGATAGGGGCTTACATGTCTAGGGAATGTGGATTCCTTACACCAGGACAAGAGTCAGGGATAGACTAAGGCTCACCCTTACCTATTGAGTAGACTTGGAGGATGATACAGGGTTGAGGGTAATACTAAGTTGATATTCTGACTGGAGTGCTACAAAGTATGTACAGGGGTTAAATACATGAGGCCAGTCTAGAGTAACAAACATGAAGCTGGACTTGTTGGTAAGCTATTAGGAAGATGATTACCAAGGGGTGGACAGCCACAGAGGCTGTGCTGAGACTAATAGCCAAAGCCTGGGTGACCAGCATGACTGGAGTTGGACACAGGATTCATACAGTAAGCAGAGATCAGGCAAGAAGACTAACTAAACAAAGCACAAGCATCAGACAACAGACTGGAGTTATGTCCAGCCAGACATGGACCTGGGAGGACCAGGGTGGAGCAGCACAAGGCCAAGAGGCCAGAGTGGACCAGAGATAGGGGTAAAACACCAGACTTGAGTTATCTAGGCCAGAGTTGGGTTATTTAGGGCTGGAGTTGGGTTTTTGAGGTTGGACTAGGTTTGGACCTGACCAGAGATAGGGGCTAGGGGTCCAGACTGGACCAGGCTTGGGTCCAAGAGTCATGGATGTGACAAAGAGGCACAAATGATACAAATGATATCATGGCCAAGAGCAACAGGATCCCTGGCAAGGGCCTGAAGATACTCTGCCTTGTTCACCATGTTGTTGAAAGTGCTAACCCACATGTCTGCAATGGCAGTAAAGTTGGCATTGGTGTAATTCTTGATGATATGGGTAATGCAGATGTTGATAATATGCAGGAAACAGGGAATATGATGGTCAATGGCATTGAACTGGATTTCACACTCATCAAGAAGCTTTGCCAGCTCATGCATGGCAGCAATGTTGTGCTTAGCATTATCATAGTGAAGTGACCAATCTATTGAAGATTCATTAGCAAGTGAGTGTGGTGCATGCATAGACATGCATGTAAGTCAGTGGCATACCTTGGAAGTCACCCCAGCACAATCGAGCAGGTCAAAGATGGTCCTGGCAAGTGCATGACCTGTGTGCAAGTTAGGGAATTACTGAAAGGCAATAAGAGACACCTTCATCTTGAGTGAGCCACCCTCAATGGCAATCCAGTGTGCTGTCAGAGCAAGGTAGGGGTGGTAAGAATCACTCAACCAAATATTGGTAGTAAATGAGATTCTCCCTGCCACATCCTATTGTGATGTGTTAGCTAAAACTTAATCAATAGGGTGTAGGACTGGGGTACTTGCCACAAGGTCCTGTTTCATGACCTTGAAATATCCTTCCCATGCTTGGAGGATTAACTTGCAAAGCTTTGTGTGGTGAGGGATGTCAGTCTCATGAAGGTCCTGGTATAAGTGGAGAATAAATTTGTGGAACTCAGGACAGTCAATGACATTGATAGACTGTAATGAATTTGTTAGCACAGTTAGAAGCTTCCCAGTACCAAGGGAGAGTACTCACTTGGTTGTCCACAACAACAAACTTTACTAGGTACTCATGCATCAAAGTGATGCTGAACTCAGCATGGTTCATCTCAGGCCCTTGATGCAACAGAAGAAAAACTTGGGGGAGGGTGTCCCCATGGTTGAGACAAGGAGCATGTGAAAGATGGTTGAGTTTGTGTCCTTGTTGGACTGCTTCCAGAAGTGCCTTGAATGTGTAGCCCATCTTGAAGGTGGTCCAGACCAATTCAATCTGTATAGGCCAACCATCCTTTTGGGCAAACTTGAAGTATTCATCTAAGTGCCACTTGGCAATGTGGCCACAAAGGGTGGCATCCCCTGAGCCAGGGCTGTATTCATACTTGTGATCAATCTCTGCCTGCTTTCTATGATGAATTTCGCTCCTGTGATGCAATTCAATGAGATAACTCACTTGCAGTGCATACAAACTGACTGTGCATCCTTCAGCTTCCTGAAGAAATACTGTACATCAGAAGTGGTTGGCAGTGCTATGGTGCTCCTTCCAGTTGCCAATGAACTAGCCCCAATGGTGTTACCAGTGTTACTTGCATTAGGAGTTGTCCTTGAGGCCAATGGAATGGCATCTGTGCTGGGAGGGGTTTGGACAGTCAGTGTAGTGTAAGCAGCAGTGGGGAGACTGGGACTGCAAAGTTGGGCCTGGGTGGGCTCATTGGCATCCTCACCATCACTACCCTCACTGATGTTGAAGAACTCTCCATTGTCAGCACCATTGCAAACCAAACTGGATGATGGCAGTTACAAATACCCCTGGCTTGTGTGGCTGCATCCCCAGCTTCAGCAGCAGGCTGGAGGCTGGAGTTATCAATACAAGCAGTGGTGTGATGATGGCCTGGGCAGTGAGGAGCTCCACTGGCCATCTGCATGGGTCCTTAAATGACAGTTAATGAAAGATGGGTGAGTAACAGTTCTGGATCAAATGACTTGAGAAATACTTATGTCCAAGGCCCCAATTTAAACCCTTGGAGATCACTGGCAATTGTGTGCTTGAATTTTGATAGACTGGCAGCAAGGTTGCTATCTTGTATGTATTCCAAGTGACAAGAGCTGAGAGTACATGCAGCACAACCCAGGCATTAGAGTCTGGGTCACAGCTGTATCTGAGTGATTGCTTTCCTTGTCAAGACTATCAATATTCATCATTATTGCAGAACTTACCATTGTCTTGATTGCCTGTCTGAAAAAAGGGCTGCTGCCTGGAATTAGGGATGGTACTGATGGTGGGCCCAGGTAGGGAAAAGGTTTGCAAATTGCATCCCTTGGTTGAAATGCCCCCAACCAGTCATCTTGAGGTCTGGACCCTGGAAGCTTGCCTTGTCATCCTGGGAAGGGTAATAGCTACATTCCATAGGGAGTGCTGGAGACATCAGTCTTACAACAATAGACTTGTGTCATGCTGATGGGAGTCCACCATGTGAACCAGATTGTCATGCATAAGTCATTCATCCTGCATGTGGAAGTTCCTGGAAGTTGAAATTGCATTCTCCAGACCCAGACTACCTCCAGATGCCTTTGACCTCACTCCCCCAAGTCCTCAGCCCAGTAATGAATATTGTTCATATAGATGGAAAATTCAGCTTGAAAGAGATGCTTGGTGCTGGCTCACATGGTGTGTCCTAAAATCAATATATGATCATAATCATACTGTTGACCATTGAGTGTGGATTTCATTCTTAGCAGTTGTATAGAAAAAGGGTGCTGTAGGCAACCTCAGTAGTGAACAATCTACTAATGTATTAGATATACCTGTAGGCAACTACAGGGAGTCAGTAAGTAGAATACTGTTAATGAATGGTGATCTTACCCTCAGTAGTGAACAATCTACTGAGGGAACAGTGTAATGACTGTGTAGCAAGTGCACCCAAACATCACACCAAAAGAAGTGAGAAGACAGGGGAGAATATATCTCCAACAAGTTGTATATTGTGCCTGAGATCTCATCAGCAACCAGGATGTTGCTGTGAAACTTGAGCATTGTACCTGGGCCCCATCCTCTCTAGAACATGAGTACCGGATTTTGAAGAAACTGTTGTTGTGAATTACAAGCAGAAGTATGGGAAGTGCTTCAGGTGAGTGTCTATGCTTTGTTGACACACCAGCTGCCCACCCTGTGTGTAGTCCATTCACCAGACCATTTTCACCTCAAAGTCCAAAGGAGCTGTCAGGCTTGAGGTACATATCAAACTTGACACTGAAAGACAGATGGAAATCACTCCCTTACTGCACAAGTTGTACAACACAGCAAGTGGTCCTGCAAACATGTAGTACAGCATTCCCCCATATCTGATAACTAAATTGGTTTCCTTGGGAAGTGTCTTCGCTCGGTGGATGCCCTCCAACAGAGCATGCGAAGATTCCAATGCTGCAGTGCATCATCAAGTATGCCCCCTCCATAATCAGAGAATGCTAACCTGGAATGATGCCCTCGAGCTGAGTGCACAGAGTAAATCCTCTCAAAGCTTCCTCGTGCATCGCAATGATGTACTCAGCCCGTTTGCTGTCCTTCAACCAGGAGTGTTCCGGTCGAACACCAGGATAGTCCAATCCAGCACTGATAGAGTACATCTCTACGATTTGAACAGCGGGATCTTGCAGAACATATGTCCGAACTCCATGCAAGACACCCGGTTTGCCTCTAACCAGGGTAAGTGCTGTGACGATCACCGTCGATACCTTGCCGGGAGTTAGCACACAAGACGATAAATTCATCCATACACACACCCTTGCCTCCGGCCTCAACGCCACCGAGGTGCACAGATGTATCCGGAATGAACTCGTAAAAGGACCCAATGGCATTGCTGCCGCCTCCAACGCATGCGACGACCACACCCGGAAGTTTCCCTGTCCCCTCCTTCATCTGTGCTTTGATTTCACGTCCGATCAGCATTCGATAGTTGCAGGACTATAGTCGGGAATGGGTGAGGGCCGAAACAGGATCCGATGAGGAAATGGGTTGTAGCAAGGTTCGTAACTCAATCTCTCACTGCTTCGTGAACAGCATCCTTCATTGTCTTCGAGCCCGACTCGATGGCCACGACCTAAGTAGAGCTTAATTAGTAGCTTGATTGATTTGCATGGCAAGTTGAGTACCTTGGCGCCAAGCATCCTCATACGGAAGAGGGTTAGAGCTTGTCTCCGTACATCCTCGACAGTCATATAAATGACGCACTCCTATCCCGAAACAGGCACACACGGTCGCAGACGCCTGACCTACATTATCCGGCACCAGTTTCTGCATCAATGCGAGTTTTTCGGAGACGTTTAGTCAACAGGATTTTGGTTGACATTCAGCCCAAAACATTGAAAGGAACAGGCAGATGCACAGCTGGCCAACCGCGTTATTGATTTTATGTGACCCTGCATGAGATCAGACCGATTGAACTGCGCGATTAGTGGACACGTACAGATTCCTCTCGCTTCAGCCTAAATCTGTGCACCATTAGCATACTTGGTCAGACCCTCTGCAAAATACTGTATAGCTTGGAAGGGCGGCTCATGTAGCCACTAGTGGCTTTCGAAATCAGCTCAGAACATTGGATCATTCCGTGTAGCGTTTTGAGCCTCCTCTAGCTCGACGAGACAGTCGAAAAGTGCTTCCGGTACATACGTGCCATCAAACTGGCCGAAACGCAAGGGGAGAAGTGTCACTCCAGTCGGTCGAGAGGCATCCCGGCAATGACCGGGTAATGATATTATGAACTTTGAACTCCAGCAGTGGACGAGTTGGAGGGTGATGATTCCTTGAGTCCTCTGCAGATGTTCTCGACTACCTGAGGAACTTGACCTGCCAGCGGTTCTTTGATAAGGGAGGCTATGCGACTCCCGACGAAAACTCCGAAACCCACGGCAATGGGTACGAAAGTGTGCTTGCGGATACGAGCGATGATGTCGGGAAGCTCGCTGTTCACTGAACCCATTGATAGAAGAGCCGGTGGTGCCCATCTGGGAGATGCGATATGCATTTTCCGAAAACGATCAACTGACATAAAGGAAGAACTTACACACGAGAACGACTAAATGAAAGAATCTGCGACGGAAGCCATGTGAGGAAGTCAGTGCAGGGACGTCGGGCTATAGGACCATCAATGAGTTCTCTTCGGCCTTCATGATCTAAAATGGCATGTGCTACTAGACCCACCCCAGTGCCGGGCACAGATGCACTGGTAGTGATTCAACAGCTTCTTGTACGTTCTTCCTATTCATTGACTTTAGGACTTTGACATGCAAAGAACAGGAACAGGAACCCCTAGGACCAATCACATCCCATACATATATTGCGTGGTCAGTATGTAGGCAGTCGAAACCTATCACTTCAACAAGATAACTTCAATTCACGCTTTAAAATGCTTATTCTCTTCTGTAGGTGCGACAAGTCGCTTGGAATCCGTCAGCACCTCACTGATACACTTTCTAAACTTGCCGGGTCAGGTGTGACATCCCTCGTCCCAACTACCATTGCTCCGTTCCCCCCCATCCCTCCGCTCACAAGAGCCCTCCAGACGTCCAGCCTGCATCTCGTCGGATAATGGTTCATTGCGACGCTCCGCCCAGAACGAATGCTGTGACATAGTTGTTGTGGATCAAGACTAGTAGCCCGGCGCTGGCATCGGGAGAACAGTCAGCTGCGATAAATACGAGCAGTGTGATGCCAAACAGAGAGAGGAGACGAAGTTGGTCGTGGAATATGTAGATGTACCTACCCACTTGTATCGTTTGCGTCTGTGCGCTTCGCCATTTCAAGGCACGAGGTGGGAACCAGAAGCGATCTATCACAGTACACTAGCATGATATATTCATCTGTGTGCACCCTCGCCTCCTGCCTCAACGCCCACGAGGTGCACAGATGTATCTGGGATAATCTGTTAAAAGGACCCATGCTGGCACCAGCGCATGCAATAGCCACATCCAGAAACTCTCCTGTCACCTCCCTCATCGGTGCTTCGATTTCACCTCTTATCAGTCACGGCCAGCATACGGGAATGCATGAGGGATCCAACTGAGGAAGTGGGTTGTTGCAAGGTTCGCATTCCAGTCTCTCATCGCTTCATTAACAGCCTCCATCAGTGTCTTCGAGTCAGCCTCGATGAGGACGACTAAGCGCATCAAATTCAGCACCTTGACAGAGTTACATGAAGACGAATTGGGTACCTTTGACAACAGGATCTTCATACGGGAAATGTTCAGAACTTGTCTCCATGCATTCTAGGCACGCATATAGATTACGCATTCCGTCCGAAACGGACACACACAGTCGCATCTGTCGCACCATGCTACCCAGCACCCGTGTCTGCGATAATGCGATATATTTCAAAACACTTGGCCGACATTCAGTCTATAAGGTTCAAAGGAACGGGAATACACACACCTGGCCAACTGCGTGATTGACTTGATGTGACCCTGTACAGGTTGCTGCAAAAGCATGAGATCGGGTCAGTTGTACTGCGCGATTGGCAGACACCTACAGATCCCCCCTTTGCAGCCAGATCTGTGCGCCATTGGCAGAGTTAGTCAGGGCTCTCTGCAAAGTATAACTTGCAAGGGCAGGTGAGGAACTGGACCGGCCAGGCAGGGAGACTATGCAACTCTTGACGACGACGGTGGCAAAGTGAATCGCGGATATGAACGATGGAATTGAGAAGTTCGCTGGCCATGAACCCTTTAATGAAAGGCTCAGTGGTTCCCATCTCAGACAGGCGACATGGGTACTCCGGTAACGTCGAGCTTGCATAAAAGCAAACCTTATATGAGACAGGAAGCCGGCGCATCGATGTCAATGGTGCCACGCGAGGGATGACGCCATAGGCCATCAATGAGTTTGCTTTGGCACCCGGATGTCATGACCTGAACTCGCCCAGCTTCCGTGCATTTCCCGCGAAAACTAAATGCCTCTTCAGGCTGGAAGTCTTCCATGACGAATCCGTTAGCACCAGCATCGCAAGTGCCCTGTCTGTGTGTCTTGGCGGTATGCAATTTAGGATAGGGATGTAATAACCTGCACAGGTTAATATAAGCACGAACAGCCTCATGAAGTCCCATACTTGACTCCACTTTGAGGAGCGTCGTAATGTGTTCCCTTCAGGGATTTGGAATGAACGGACTCGTAGGGTTAGTGTCTTGAACGCTGCGATGGGATTGGAGAACGGAACACCAACTTCGAAGACATCTGCTCCCCCAAGTTCCATCGGCGAAAGGACGGGGATGGCACTGTCCCAGCGTGCAGACGGGCGTGGTTCCGAATCTCGGCGTGGTCATCGCATCCGGGTTCGAAGGTTCCGTTCCGGGACAGCAGAGCGCCCATTCAGAAACTGGCGAGTCCATCGACGCGACGAACACCAGCCGACGACCCTCGCGTCTCCATCGAAACTCACGGCGGCCCTCCGTAATACCATCTCGTCAAAAACCACAATGCAGGCGGTCCACAAGTGCCGCCATACCTCGTGATCATATTTCTTGCGCCAGTACCCTTGTTTCTTACGGCACGGCATGAAAGGTTAGTATGGGTGTATCGTGTGTTTCTCTACGCTGTAATGCTAGGTTTGGCTTCGTATGCGTCATTTCGTGCAGCTCGACCTAGCAGACTATGCGTCTACCATCGACCTTCAACTTGCAGCTGCCGTTCAGCTCGAAAATTCCAGAACAGCAGACAAGTGAAAACGCCTGTGTATTCATCACATTTCGACTCTGGAGATGAGAGTGAGGACGACGATGAATGGGATTACGCGATGCAACTACATGGCGAGGGAAAATGGGGAACGATCGACAGATGCCTCCCACCGAGAGCAGGTAACCAGTGCTTAGGGAAAACCTTCATGATCGTATGGTGGAGTTGCGTAAGATTGATGGAGACGAGCAGGGAAATGATTTGTTGGAAGGACAAAGAAAACTGATGTGCCGTCCTTCGGGACATGCATAGGAAAAGAGCCGAGAAGGAGAAAGCGACAAATGAAAAAGGATGTAGATGCAAAAACCAGTCTATCAAGGTGCAGTGAAGGTATACTATGCTGCGAGAGTGTCTACCTGATGAGAGAGGGCAAGAACCAACTATGTCCTCGTGAACGACACCGGCACCTCGAGCAACTGCGAACAGATCGATTATGGAAGCAGGAATGGAGCTAAACTTTTCATGTTGGCTGTGAGTGCGAACGACTCGTCGTTCAGATAGATTCTTACGCCATTTCCCATGTGATTTAGAACGAGTTGTTGTTGTTAGCGAGAAAGATCGGATTGCGTTGGTCATTCTGGCGATTCTGGCAGTGAGTTTCCGCTGCCGTGGCCTGGAGGGGAATGCATCGCTTAAAGAAGGCACCTTACTTATATCCAGGCTGATGCACAATCTCCGGTCGACGAAGACTACCCCTTCTGCCATTCCTGTTTGGATATGCATAGCAAAGAGGTATGTCCGTATGCTGTTGCCGTTCGGGCAGTTTCGTTCGACGCTGATCGGCCATGTGCAGGACACAAGTAGCTCCGGCCAAAAGCGATCCACGATAACGAGCTTGTTGACGAGCTTGCGAACGACTATATGCACCTTGCTTGTGTCAAGTTTATCAATTTCCGTCTGTCTGTCCTTGTATGTATCAGCTGGCGGTTCGTGGTTCTGACCTAGCGTTTCAGATAAAAGCCTGCGTCTCTCCGATGGACACTCTCATATGTTAGACGACGGTCTCAGCTGTAAGTGGTCTTCCGCATTCCCACTTACTCAACACTCAACTGCCGCATTTACCTTTCTCAAATACTTTGTACAGATAAAAGCATGGGAAAAGGTCAGCGCAGGAATGATGGAAGTGTACGCAGCGGAGGTACTAGGCAAACTTCCTGTCATCCAACACTTCCTCTTCGGGTCTATCCTACACGAGGGTCCTTCTGCGCCATCTGGGACAGGCGAGGATAGCGCACATCATGGACATATTCATGAAGGACGGGGTGCTTGTGCGGGATACCTATCCAGAGTGCTTTTGCTACGACGCAGGCAACATGATCGGGGACCTGGGATACAACTGGTTTCGTTGGGTACTATTGCTGACTCTAGTGTAGCAACGCACAAGGTGGAATGTTAATTCATGCAGTTTCGTCACTGAGAATGCGCATGTTACTCCCTAGAGTCAGACAGCATTCCGCTACTAGGAAAACAAGCAGGTGTTTGACAATTCGAAGCTCAACAACGTTACAACCACAATATTGCACCTCTCAAGCTCCGGATACTCGTAAACCCATGTGTAAGAGCGAGGGAAAAGTCTACAAGGATATGGCAGTTCGCTAGCCAACGAGATAGGTATGTTACCGACTGAACTGGTCCGGTAGAGTCCATCATCTTTTCGTTGAAAAGCGGACATAGGAGTTAATCTGATCCTTTGCGGATTGATACCTCCGCTGATAATAGACCTAAGAAGTTCTGCGCTTCCCAGAAACATCCTCCAAAGGCTCCTCCCTCCAACGTGCCAAAGCCGCCACGCAATCAGGGTGAAGGAAAACCACTGCACTCCGTTCGAGGCGATCCTACATGCCCTCATAAAAAAGGCTAGCTGAGAAGCATCAACTCAATGACCATGGATAAGCCGCACCTAGTCACCCCAAGCGCAATCGGGTGTGAATGCCAACCTTGTCTCGAAGGACCGTCTTGGCATGATACCTCGGAGAATAGTCGACGAGGTCATCATAGTGAGCGGTATGTTCTGTGCAATTCCTCGTTCTATATCATGCTCGAATGTGAGGTCAATAGTGTCCGGGTGACACAGGCCAGGTGAACGCTACATAGGGATATGCGCCAGAATTGATGTTAGAGAAAGAGTATCTATGGAGAATTGAGGAATTAAGTTTGCAGAGGAATTAGTAACTGGTTGTTGATGTCTCGAACGCAAGTCGACACTAAGAAAACTACAGAATGCTGTCACGAAGAAATGGGAGACTTACGCGTAGCACAGCGGAAATCCTGGGACGATGCCTAAGCGGGGAACCGTGGCATTTTGCGGATCGCAGCATCTTGGCCGAGCTACTTGCTATTCAGTGGAGAGTTAGTACAACTCATAAATTCAATCGTGTGCAGATACAGGGCTGCGAGTCCGAGTGAGAATGGTGGAAGACAAGTCTCTGCACGCTTCGTACGACAACGGTGTTGTAACGCAGCAGTTCATTCAGGGCGACTTACCTATGGTGTCTACCTCAGATGCCAGATGCCTTGGTTACTTCTTGTTTGTTATCCCCGGCCGTTCTGCATTCGGTGACGCTCTCCACAGGGGCATGCAAGGCGAGATGGAAAAAGTCGGAGCTCGAGCGAGAGGCGTTTGGTGAGATGGAAGAGGGAAGGGGACAGAGACAGCAGAATGAGCGCTGAGCGCTGAGCGTGGCTATGAGAGCAGACAGCCATCCACACGTGTACGCCAGACACCTACACAGCACGCAACTACTACTCGAACGACATTGCAATCTAACTCACAGTCACCGCAATCCAACTCTCAGTACACATCGCTTCCAAACTATCAATTCCTCAATGGCCAGGCTCCAGCCAAAGACACGTCGTTTGCCATATATTGGAAAGTCTTCCTCATCAGCGCCTAACGTCCCTCCAGTAAGCAATCTGTTTTTGCCAACGCACCAGACTAATGGATCGGCCAAACACAAGTCTCAAGGGCAGTCCGAGGCTCCTGTTGGAGGCATTGCATCGAATCCTGGGCATTCGGGTCATGGTTTCAAGGGCAAACTGGCCGCTATGAAAAGTCGCTTCATTCGGTCTCACCGAGGCCCGTCAAGTTCCTCTGCCGATCCCATTGTATCTGAAGGGGCCCAGGAAGACCCAGAACCGCGACAAGTTTCCCAAGATGTTGATGTAGGTGTTATATGGCGTCCGGCACTGCAACAATGCTAAGCGCTTACCTCTCATAGACTCAAGGGCTGCCCAGTAAAGCAGGACCTGATCCTGACCCAGCTTTGGCAGATGACAACCTCGATATTGCTCGACAAGTTTTCGACAGCATGAAACCCATCCCCCGTGCTGGCGAAATTGCTGTCAACACTGTCGCAAAAGCTAGTACCGCGGTTGCTGACCTTCAGAACTTGAGTAGCACCTATCTCCAACCTCTTAAAATCTTTAACAATGTAGTCACCACCGTTGCAAACGTGCGTAGGTTTGTTCTGGCATCTGCGCCACGACTGAACGATCCCGCGCAGGTCCATCCCTACGCCCAGATAGCGCTGGGCATTCTCACGGCCGCTTCCCAAGTACGCCTCAGGGTCCTTTATTTACTTTCTTTACTCACCGCCCTTGCGCCAGTTGATCATTACGCAAGCGAACCTGGATAGTGCGATATCAGAGCTCTTGAAAAAAGTCGGTTCTGTGTACGCATTCCTTTTGGAAGACGACACCATGAAGAACATTGATACCATGAGAGTCCCGTTGGCAAAAATCGCGCAGGTAATCAATGCCTGTGCGCAGTTCGTCAGAGATTACTCAGAAACAACAAACTTTTGTACGTTTGTTGTTCTCTGGTTGAGATTTTGACCTCATACCTTCTCAGGGAAGAGACTCGGAAAGAACATAATGTCCGAGACGCAGACTGCTATCAACGACTACGCCAAGACTCTAGACGAGCTGATGCAGCAATACCGAGACTGCCAGGCCCGGGACATCCAGATCAACGTGTATCGCGTTCTCGAGGACCTGAACATGGAGGGCATGGCTTACGCAGACGGGGCGGGCTTGAATACGATGAAGAAATGCCTAGAGAACACGAGGATAGAGATTCTACAAGACTATCATTAACTGGGTCAACGATACCCTCCCCGACACCCGACGCATTTTATGGCTTCACGGGCAGGCTGGAAGGGGCAAATCTGCGATCGCCCATACCATAGCATCCTGGCTCAAGGATGTGGGAGGGCTTGGATCCTGCTTTTGTTTTGCTCGTGACAAGCAGGCTGAGCGTCGGGAAGAGAAGATGCTGACGACTATTTCCCATGATTTGGCCAACCGTTACCCCGCTTTTCGACGAGCTTTAGGGTCATGTTCTCGCTGAAGACCCCTCTCTTAAGAGGACGCCCGGACTTGTTGCAACAGTGGCAAAAATTGATCTTGGAACCGTTGTCCAAGGCTGCAGGTTCTATTGTTGGGAATGTAGTAGTGGTGATCGATGCGTTGGACGAAAGCGGAGAGGTTTTATCGAGGAAGCATATTCTGTCGCTTCTGGCGTCGAAGGAAGCCGCAAAGTTGCCGTCGAATTTTCGGATCTTGCTAACATCCCGAGCCTTACCGGATATCCAACGTGCTCTAAGGGATGCCATGAACGTCAAAGCGACGTGTCTGGACGATGTCCCTGCAGAGCTGTCGCAGCGTGACATCACTCTATTCGTTTCGAAGGAACTTCTTAGTCTCAAAGACAGTATTGGGCCGATAGAAATACAGCAGATCGTTCACAAGTCGAATGGCTTGTTCGAGTGGGCACGTCTGGCTTGCGAATTTGTCGACCCGAATCGCGCCTTTGGTGAAACTGTGGAAGAACGATTCAAGAGCCTAATAGCCATCCCATCGGACGAGGGGAAGACACTTTTGGATGGCATGTATGCTACCATCCTAGGCAGCGTCGTTCCGAAGTCAGGGACACCATTTCTGCGGTTCCGCTCTGTCATGCAGCAGCTTCTGATGATGTTGGAACCTTTGCCCATGGCAGCGTTGAATCATATGCGCAGTCTCTTCCCTACTGAAGCAGACCACTATGATGTAGTCATAGTCCTTCAATTCATGGCTCCAGTGCTGGGGGGTATTGTTGACCACTCATCTCCTGTTCGACCTCTCCATGCATCCTTTTATGACTTCCTAACTGATCATTCGCGAAGTGGAGTCTACTTCATCGACACTTCTGACTCAAGTAATCTAGCCTATGCCTCGTTGCAAGTGCTCGCCAAGGAGCTGCGTTTCAACATCTGCAGGCTGGAAAATTCATACCTCAGCAACTCCCAGATTCCTGACTTGGCGGAGAGAATCAAGTCAAATATTCCACAACACTTATCCTATTCGTGCAAATTCTGGGCGGAGCATTTGGAGATGGCCAAGTTTGACTCGTACCTTGCAACATCTGTGCAAGGCATTGTAGAGAGTGAAAAAATGCTGTTCTGGATTGAGGCTCTCAGCCTTCTTGGAGCATTGGGGAGTGCTGAATCCTCTCTTGCAATCACAGGCAGATGGTTACAGGTGAGTACTTCAGTTTCTGAGTGGCATTTAATGTCATCTGAAGTCATGTGCAGGGCCAGGCAGGTTGTGAAGTACCAGCAGCATTAGCAATGGATGGGGTCAAATTGTTGCAGAACTTTACCACAGCAATTTCATGCAGTGCACCACACCTATATCTCTCTGCATTGCCCTTTGCACCTTCTACTTCCTTGTTGTCCAGACAGCTTATGCCCAAATTCTCCCACCTTGTGCAAGTGGCTCAGGGGGGTCTGCAGGACTGGCCAGCTGTGCAGCTTGCCCTACAGGGGCATACTTCTTATGTCACCTCAGTTGCATTCTCCCCTGATGGCAACAGGATTGTCTCAGGCTCAAGGGACAACACTGTGAGGGTCTGGGATGCAAAGAGTGGAGATCAGATTGGCAGCCCTCTGAAGGGGCATACTTGGGATGTCACCTCAGTTGCATTCTCCCCTGATGGCAACAGGATTCTCTCAGGCTCAGATGACAAGACTGTGAGGGTCTGGGATGCAAAGAGTGGAGATCAGATTGGCAGCCCTCTGAAGGGGCATACTTGGGATGTCACCTCAGTTGCATTCTCCCCTGATGGCAACAGGATTCTCTCAGGCTCTTGGGACAGGACTGTGAGGGTCTGGGATGCAAAGAGTGGAGATCAGATTGGCAGCCCTCTGGAGGGGCATACTGATTATGTCACCTCAGTTGCATTCTCCCCTGATGGCAACAGGATTGTCTCAGGCTCAAAGGACAAGATTGTGAGGGTCTGGGATGCAAAGAGTGGAGATCAGATTGGCAGCCCTCTGAAGGGGCATACTGATTATGTCACCTCAGTTGCATTCTCCCCTGATGGCAACAGGATTGTCTCAGGCTCAGATGACAAGACTGTGAGGGTCTGGGATGCAAAAAGTGGAGATCAGATTGGCAGCCCTCTGAAGGGGCATACTGATTATGTCACCTCAGTTGCATTCTCCCCTGATGGCAACAGGATTCTCTCAGGCTCAGATGACAAGACTGTGAGGGTCTGGGATGCAAAGAGTGGAGATCAGATTGGCAGCCCTCTGAAGGGGCATACTTCTTATGTCACCTCAGTTGCATTCTCCCCTGATGGCAACAGGATTGTCTCAGGCTCAAGGGACAACACTGTGAGGGTCTGGGATGCAAAGAGTGGAGATCAGATTGGCAGCCCTCTGAAGGGGCATACTTGGAATGTCACCTCAGTTGCATTCTCCCCTGATGGCAACAGGATTGTCTCAGGCTCAGGGGACAAGACTGTGAGGGTCTGGGATGCAAAGAGTGGAGATCAGATTGGCACCCCTCTGAAGGGGCATACTTGGAATGTCACCTCAGTTGCATTCTCTCCTGATGGCAACAGGATTGTCTCAGGCTCAAGGGACAAGACTGTGAGGGTCTGGGATGCAAAGAGTGGAGATCAGATTGGCAGCCCTCTGAAGGGGCATACTTGGCCTGTCACCTCAGTTGCATTCTCCCCTGATGGCAACAGGATTGTCTCAGGCTCAAGGGACAACACTGTGAGGGTCTGGGATGCAAAGAGTGGAGATCAGATTGGCAGCCCCTCTGAAGGGGCATACTCGGATATGTCACCTCAGTTGCATTCTCCCCTGATGGCAACAGGATTCTCTCAGGCTCAAGGGACAACACTGTGAGGGTCTGGGATGCAAAGAGTGGAGATCAGATTGGCAGCCCTCTGAAGGGGCATACTGATTATGTCACCTCAGTTGCATTCTCCCCTGATGGCAACAGGATTGCTCTCAGGCTCTTGGGACAAGGACTGTGAGGGTCTGGGATGCAAAGAGTGGAGATCAGATTGGCAGCCCTCTGAAGGGGCATACTGATTATGTCACCTCAGTTGCATTCTCTCCTGATGGCAACAGGATTGTCTCAAGCTCTAGGGACAACACTGTGAGGGTCTGGGATGCAAAGAGTGGAGATCAGATTGGCAGCCCTCTGAAGGGGCATACTTATTATGTCACCTCAGTTGCATTCTCTCCTGATGGCAACAGGATTGTCTCAGGCTCTAGGGACAACGACTGTGAGGGTCTGGGATGCAAAGAGTGGAGATCAGATTGGCACCCCTCTGAAGGGGCATACTCAGGATGCCCACTCAGTTGCATTCTCCTCTGATCCCAATATGATTATCTCTGGCTCAATGGGTGAAGCTGTTGGGATCTCAGGAGGTGGGAATGGTCCTCCTACCATGTTACATGTTAATGGTGAGTACATTATTTACAGCTATCTGTATTTATGCTGTTACAGTATCTGACTTTATTCTGACAGCCACTCATATTCATGGGACACATCCCATTTGCTTTTCTTCAGTCTCATCACATGCATTACCTGACAGTGGACAACTTCTTGATGACCACACATTGGAGGACATGACTCAACCAGTTCTGCTGCACCCTGATGGCTGGATCAGAGGCCCACAAGGGAGATTGCTCTTATGGATACCTGCATCTTTGCAGACCCCATTTTATTCAATGCATACCAAATTAATCATTCCTAGAGGATGTTGTGTGGAGCTGGACTTGAGTGAAATGGTCCATGGAAACAAATGGCAGGACTGTTTCAAATATGTTTCCTAGTGTTGACACATATGCACTTTATCCTTGTCAATGACTTGGTATTCTACACACCAAGTACAGTATGAACAATAGAATGTTGCATTGGCACTTGTATTGGTATCAAACACCTGAAAAATTACCCACCTCACTCATCAACCACCTCAAATGTGCATTGTGTGCTAAATTCAATGACTCACAGGTTGCACACAGTCATCAGCTGGATTTCCTCCACCATTTCTCAAATGTGCTGGTCAAGGTGATCAGCCCATTTCTATGTAAGAGCTGAGAGATTCCAGTGTGTTGACAAGGCAGGGAGAACCTGTAAATGTTGAATCTTCACCAACATCCTTGACTACCCAAGGAACTGGACCAGACCACACATGCAGACTATGTGACTCTTGATAATGACAGCATCAAGGTGGATTTCAGATACAAATGATGGTGTCAAGAAGTTTGCTGTCCACCAACCCTTAAATGGAAGGCTAAGTGGTCCCCATCTGAGAGAGGTGACATGCATACTCTGGTAATGTTGAGCTTGCACAAAAGCAAAATTTTATATGAGACAGGAAGCCAGCACAGGGATATCAACAGTGCCACATGAGGGACAAGCCTATAGGCCATCAATGAGTTTGCTTTGGGCCCCAGATTCAATGACCTACACTCACCCCACTTCCATGCAATTCCTGTGAAAACCAGATGCCTCTTCAGGCAGGAGGTCCTCTGCAATGAATCTGTTAGCACCAGCATCACATGTGCCCTGTCTGCATGTTTTAGTGGCATTCAAGGATAGGGGTACCAACCTGCACAAGTTAATGAGCACAAATAACCTTATCAAGTCTTGACCTTGACTCACTTATTAGAAGTAATGGAACCATAAGGCCATTGCTCCAAGGATCACTGCATAGTGTACTCCATTTTGAGGAGCAACCTGATGTGTTCCTTATAGAGATTTGGAATGAATGGACTCACAGGGGTAGTGTCTTGATCACTGTGATGGGGTTATAGAATGGAACACCAACATCAAAGACATCTGCTTGTGCAGCTTGCATCACCAAAAGGACAGGGATGGTGTCATCCTTCCTTGAGTGACCTGCAGTGACAACAGTGACCAAAGCATGGCTTCCCTAACAGCCAATGTCAAGCACTTTAGATATTGCAGACTTTGGTGGGTAGAACCCATGTGCAGATGGGTGTGGTTCTGGATCTGACATTCTCACCATAATCATCAAATTCTGTGAAATTGTGAGATGGGTTCAAAAGTTCCATTCTGGGACCATAGAATGTCCTTTCAGAATCAGCCCAAATGGCACATCCACTGAGGCAACAAAACCCACAGCACACTGCTGACAAACTCCCATTGCATGACCACAAAGAAAGAAAAGGAATTGTAACCCACATGGGTATCAAGAAGATAGTCTAAAGGATATTGAAATTGGCACAAGAGCTATTAGAGATTGTAACAGTGAGCAAGCATAAGATTTGAGGAGTTCAGGCCTGTTGCTTGAGAGTTAGACATAGCATCCATAAATTGATCTTTCTAATGACATGATTCACAGTTGTGACCTTTGCAGGCCCTGGGTCCAAGTCTGAGATCCAACTGCTACTTTGACAGTTGACATATATTGAAGTGGGGTAGATTGAGGTGCAGTGCCTCCCAGAGTGAAACATGGAAACAAGTTGTTCCTTTGCCAGATCTCACAACTTCCAAGACACCTCCAAATCAGCAACAAAGATTGTGGTCCCTCAAGTTATCTTATTAAGTGGTGTAGGACTCATGAAACAGAATGAATGAAGCTCTTTTTAGACTCTACACAAGATGCTTGAGAGGGAGGTGGGAATAAGTGGCAATTGTGACATGGGAAGGGTGCCATCTATGTTGAGATCATCAAGGCAATCTTCTCAGTCAGTGACAGGACACCCAAATTCCAGGTCCTTGCTTGAGACAACCCATCTGTCTTTGCTGCTCTTATCTGCAGTTGACTTGGCATGTACATGCTTTTTTTTGGAATAAAAAAACTACCACTTAAACATTTTACAGTTTAAAAACCAAGTATTGAAAACAGAATGCACTAATCAAGCAGATGGGTGCTGGGTGCACCTATGAGGATCTGGTAGGCAGCAACAGTGCAAAAAATATCATCAGTATGCAGACTTTTTTTTCATGTCTGTTACTTTATTAATTGTTATCAGTAACAATCAAGAAGGAATTTCCATGGTGGGGAGAATTGCATGGGTGGTGGTGCATGAACCCTGCCTACAATAACACATGGAGTGCAAATGTTAGCAGGCAGGATTTTGCAAAGCATGTGGTTGAGCTGTTTGAGCTTTGGCCAAACCCATTAGGTGGAGACCCCAGTTTTTCCTCTGTGGGTGTGCCAACTTCACTGAGCTCAAAGAAGGCAAAATAGGGGAGGGTAGCAACAATTTTGATACTGCTGACATTGTTTTGCAGAAGATTCTATGAGAGCAGATGTCAAGACACTGTCATTTACCATCTGATTGCCCCCCCCCCCCCCCCCCATTCTGTTCTGAGTGGGGTCATCATCTTCTGCTGCCCCCTCATCTGTGCTATTCTTTTCTGAGTTGACATCAGCCTCCCCATCCCCCCTATTTTTTTCTCAATAGCCCCCACTATCACCCCTTCCTCCTGTTGCATCCAAGTGCTTGTCACTTGCTTCATCACTGTCCTCCATCATGCCTGGGTCACCTGCTGTCCTATCTGCCCCTCCCTCTGTTTTTAACAAGGGCAATTCTATCAGCTTGAATGATGATCCCCCCTTCCCATTCCTATCCCCTTGTCCAAAAATCCAGCTGAAGTGTCTGTCTCTTGAACAGGATCAAGCTCTTCTTAAACCCAGGTCAGCATCCACCCCAAATATGGATGACTCTTCTGATTCTGACATCACATCCTCCAACATGTTTTTGATGCTCCATTTCTCTTTGTCTTTCCCTCCCACCACCACTGCACTCTCAGACAACAGCAATCAAAGCTGTTCTCAAAGTCATCCCATAAGCATGCTCATGAAACACCTGCTGACTGACTCTCCTCAAATCTGGTGTCTGCCTCCATGAGCTTCATCCAGGAGTTCCAACAGGTGCAGCAGCAAAGGTCAGAGGCCAAACATCACCAGCTCCAGTATGGCTACTTGGAGGAGAATGAGAAGAGCAACAGCTGCCTGGCTGGATGTGAACACCAAATTGTGAGGCAGCATGAGCAGCATGTCCATGGAGAGGTGATGGCAGCTCAGGAGCTAGAGAAGATAAAACTTTCAGTGAAGTTGGAGGAGCTTTGAGGGCAGAACCTATCCCTACAGAGGGGTGTAGCTGGTAATGAGGTCCAAGGCCCTTCATTGACTAATGAAGATGTTCACAAACTTGACAACAGTTTATGACCACATTATTATCAACATCTAGTATGTATCCCCCCTCCCCTCCCCCCTGCTCATATACATGCTGTACAACATATCCCTCCCTCCCCCTATATGTATATGCACACTACATTGTCATGTAGTAGTTATGCATAATGACATGTTGTCATTCCCACTGCATTGAGTTTGAGAAAACAAACTAAGTAAAAACAAAACCTATCTACATGTACAGGTTTTTACATTACTCTAAGTGCTGAAGCAAGCTGATTAAAAGGCTGTCCCTAAACCTTTGTCCCTCTGATCCAATGTAGTTACAGTGAAGACTAAACTGTTGCAATGTTTGCCATGTATGAATTGTTGATGATGTAACTCAGGTTATTCTGCATGGGGAGTCATGATACATATACCATTGGAAAGGGTGACCTCAGACTTTCTAGAATGCTATGGCATAGTCCAAAAAAAGCTGTACATAGTGAGATACACTGTGTTCTTTCCAAAATGTGCATTGTGACACTTTTGTTCCTGACCAGTGTGATAGCAAAAAGTGATCTTTTGATAGGATTGAGGGCATGAGGGAAAAGGAAATATGATTACATAATAAACCATATGATCTTCTGGATGCTTTGTCAGCATGTGAACAATGAAAAACATTGGACTTGTACTGTTATTCCTCCCTCTTTTACAACAACTCAAGAAATCATCTCTCTGGCTCACATGGACATTCTCTCAGGGAAATATTATCAAATACTGGTAGATACTACAGTACCATCAGTATGATATGCTCTCAGAACCATTGGTCCCTCAGAAAGCCTGCTTTCAGTCATTCCCTGCATTGTTTCCCCACCCATGCCTGATGTGTTCTGGGACTAATTGGTACTTGGGAGGCTGAAAATGTTATGGAAGGCAATCTGGCACTTCAGAACATGATGGAAAAACCAATTCCCTCCCAACCAATGCATTTCTGCCACAGGAACCTGGTATGGAAGTTGGAGTGAGACAAAACCCTCTTTACCCTTGGGTGTCATCAGAGAGATATGCTACTGAACTGCCAGGGTGCAGAATGCTGTGCTTCCATATTTCTCTGAATATTGCCATTGGTCACATATGACCAAATAGCCCTTCCAGCTATAGAGAGAAAGGGAAAACTGAAGCCAGTCAAGACTGGTTCTCACTGGAAAGGGCTGGGTTTGTTTGGATAGCAGTTGTGTTATTCTTGTACAAGTTCTGATGTGTTGTCTAGCTCAGTAGCTAGTACCCATGTGGTTTCCTCATCTGTTCCTTTGTAGCCAGCCCACTGGACTAGGTATTGTAACCAGCATTTGCAATGCCAGTTGACCTTAGTGTCAAGGATTTCTACTACCTCAAACTCTAGTTCACCATCACCATTGACTGGTGAGGGTGGTGGTTGAGTCCAGTTTGGGATGGTATTAGTTATGGATGATCATGCACAGTCAAAGGAATTTTAGTAGCTTGATCCAAGGATCAAAAGTCCACCAAGGCACAGACAGTGGTCACCATGCCTGTTTCCAGGTGTGTGTTGCAATGCTCAAGCAACATGCTTGCTGGTGCTCACACCCTTGCACTCTGCACTTGAACCCTCCACCACCTCAAGCCATTGACCAGGTAGGGTTTTCCTATCATAGGAGTTGACAAAAAAGCAATAATCATTGTCTATTGGTGGTGCTTTTCATGTTCTGGTAGACCTGCAGGTCTCTCAAGGTGGGATTGGAGTTGGATATGGCTGTGGAGGTGTCACTTTGTGCATGGTAGGTTTCAGCATTGTCTCAGCTTGCTTTACTGACAGTTTTGAGGCTGATTCAAGTGCTTTTTGGGAACTTGAGTCATTTCCAGTTGAGCTGCCCTCTGGCCACTGTGGGGTTTGATCCTCCACTGATCCTGGGTGATCAGGTGTGTTTTGCAGCTCAATTTTGACCTCATCTGTGACACTTTGACCATCTCCCTTACTAGATTCATTTTCTCCAGCATCAGACTCAGAGTGGGCATGGACTCCCATGCCTGAGTCATCAACAGTATCCAGGTGTGACATATTGCCCTTTTGGGCATTCCCTTTTGTGTCCATTGGTTTGTTGACTGTCCTCACAGGATCTTCTTCTATCTGGATGCAATCTAGGGCTGCAGTGGTGCCCCCTCATTGAATACCACATCCTGAGACTCAAAGACTTGACCAGTAGGTCAGTTCAGGCACAGGTAGGCTTTCTTGTGCTCTGCAAAGCCAAGGTGGATGCATTCTAATGACTTTGCATTCAGCTTTTTCCTTTTTTCTTCAGGTATGTGTACATGTGCTGTGCAGCCAAATACTTGTATATGAGCAATAGATGGTTTAATGCCTGTAAAAGCTTCATGTGGTGTGACATCTGCAAATGCATGGGTTGGTATTCAGTTTATGAGGTAGGCTGCATATTGTACAGCATCCTCCCAATATTTATTCAGAAGTCCAGTGTCTTTTAGCATTGCCCATGCACTTTCAACAAGTGTGCAGTTCATCCACTGTGTGACACCATTTTCCTGGGGACTATAGGCATTTGTCCTCTCATGGTGGATTCCCATGGACATAAGGTAGGCTTTGAACTAATCTGCACCATATTCTCCTCCATCACTTTGAAAATAATTTGGTCATTCACCAGTTTCAATTTCAGCTTGTGCAAAGTAGTCTTTCACTGAAGGGAAGACTTTGTCCTTGGTTTTTATTAGTTTAACCACAAGGTGGTGTGAGTGAGCATCAATGAAGGTTATGAAGTAGCAGTGTCCAGTTTGAGCTGTAGTTTCCATAGGGCCACATATGTTTGAGTATGTCCAATAGTGGACTGTTGGGCTTTTGACATTTGACTTCACAGGTATCACCTTCTGGTGTTGCTTCCCTTTGAGGCAGGGTTGGCAAACCAAGTTCAAGTACTCAGCACTGGTGAGTTCCATACCCTCAACCATTTCCTTACTGACTAGCTTAAGCATGGATATTTTGTTTGCATGCTCAAGTCATCAATGCCACAAGTCAAGTGAAGCCACTGACTTTGGTGCTGCAGTTGCGAGTGCTGAGAATTTGAGGGTAGGGTCGAGAAGTGGAGATGACCCTTTGTCATGTCCATGACTCTTGGACTCAATCCCAGTCCAGTCTGGACCCCTAGCCCCTATCTCTGGTCAAGCCCAGTCCTAGTCTGGCCTAGAAAACCCAACTCTGGCCTAAATAACTCAAGTCCAGTGTTTTACCCCCTATCTCCAGTCCACTCTGGCCTCCCAGCCTTGTGCTGCTCCACCCTGGTCCTCCCAGGTCCATGTCTGGGTCACCTGGACATAACTCCAGTCTGTTTTCCTTTGTTTGTACTATATTTAGTCTAGTCCCCTTTGCTGATCTTGCTTACTGTACAAACCTGTGTCTGATCCTGGTTATGCTGGTCACCTGGACTTTGACTATTAGTCTTAGCACAACCTCTGTGGCTGTCCTCTTGCTAATCATCTTTCTAATAGCTTATCAACAAGTCCAGCTCTATGCTTGTTACCCTGGACTGGCCTCATGTATTTAACCCCTGTACATACTTTGTAGCACCCTCAGTCAGAATATCAATTTAGTATTACCCTTGACTATGTATTACCCCTTGAGTCTACTCTATAGTTAAGGCCAAGCCTTAAGCTATCCCTGGCCCCTGCCCCAGACCTCTCCCTGGCTTGCATAAGGGTACAGCACATAAACTGAGACCAAGGGAGGTAGATCCAACCCCAGACCAGCTTCCCCCTGTGTGCACTCCAAGACCAGTCAGTTTCCCATGCTACCAGCCTTGTTCCTGTGCTCCTGACCTTAAGTCTGGTCCTCCAGACTTAGCCCCTGACCTCTGGCCTTAACTCCAGTCCAACTGGACTTGTCCCCTGTCTCCTGGCCTTGACTTTGGCCACCTTGACTTGGCCCCTGTCACCTGGTCTTGAAGCCTGGTCACCCAAGGGTAAACCTGTACTTAACACCCTTGTATTATGAGTGCACCATGACTCAGAGAGTGAGTCTTTGCTGTGAGGATGTAGAGTGAGCCTTGATGATGACCCATGCCCACAGTTTATGTCCCTTTGGTGATCAAGCATGATTCACCTGCAAAGGTGCACATAATTCAGTCAACCATAGTCCTGAAACTGGGACACCTGAAATGTACATTTGCCCTGAAAGTGGGACCAACCAATGTCAGCTGACAGCCCTGAAAGTGGGTTGGCCCCTGGAAGTGGTATCAGCTGACACAGCCTCAGCATGAGGGAGCTCCCTGGAAGGGGTGTCAGCTGACATCACCTAAGCATGGCCCAGTCCCCTGGAAGTAGTAGTGGCTGACCTAGCCTCAGCATGAGGGAGCCCCCTGGAAGTAGTATCAGTTGATGCAGCCTCTGCATGGCCCAGTCCCTGAAAGTGATATCAGTTGACCTAACCTCAGCATGGGCCATCCCCCTGGAAGGGGGTCAGCCAACGTAGCCAAATCATGGCCCAGCCCCCCAGAAGTGGTGTTGGTGGACCTTACTTAAGCCTAACCCAGCATCAGCAAAGCATGCAGCAGACATGCAAAATTATATATGCATATCAGCTGTGAAACCTCCAGAATAAACAAGGATTTGTTTCTTCTATAATTTTCAACATATTTTCTTAGGAAAGATGGGACATTCTTGCAGTATGGGCCATATCATTGGATTCATTCTTTATAAATAGTCCATTTTTTATGTACTGTGTACTGTGGAGGTATATGTATTTTACAAATTTTCTACCAACCATGCAGCACTTCAGGTAACCAATTTTCATAAGCATTTAGGCTGAAGTTTTTCTACAAATCATCCAAGCTAAAAGCCACTCAGACCAGGTCATCCCAGGGACATCTGGCCATGTCCCAGGGCTATTTGCAGTGTGCAGGACCTGGGATGTCCCATAATCCCAGCCCCCTGGTAATATATTTTGGGCTGTCCCATGGCTGCCTTAGGTGTCAGGGGTCCTCAACTGCAAAAGTGCAGCTCACACCCACATTGGAATGCCAGCTTTCAATCACAAACACATTGCTGTTATGATCATCATCCAGACAATGAGCATACCTATCAAACTGGGGGGATGGATGAAAACATTACCCTCCCAAAAAAACATTTGCTATACATATTAAATGATATATGAAGACTACTGGGCAATGAGTGTGTTTGTGTGATGCCATCTGCAGAATTGTACAATGTGGGTGAAGGTGAACCTGTCAATTACTAAAGGTTAATGGATTCAGAATCCCCCCAATAGTATTGTAAGTTCTTGCATTCATTACAACAGTCACTCCTTACTAGGATCACTACTTTTGTTTCCAACTTACAGTTGAGGTGCATACATACATACATACATACATACATACATAGTATCAAAATGATTCTATTGTGGGGGATGAGCATGTGAGTGCCCCACTGGCATAGGATGCTATATGATCTAATTGGCATGGGGCCCCATGCCCAGGACAGTGGGATGCCCCTTGATAGCTTTGGAGGCCACTGTGAGACATCCCACCCCCCCTTCCATAGGCCAGTGGGATGTCCCATCATAGCTTCAGAGGCTACTGTGGGACATCCCATCCCCCTTCCATAGGCCAATGGGATGGCCCATGGTAGCTTTGGAAGCTACTGTGGGACATCCCATCCCCCCTTCCAGAGGTCAATGGGATGTCCCATCATAGCTTCAGAGGCTACTGTGGGACATCATCACACCCCCCCTTCCAGAGGTCAGTGGGATGTCCCATGATAGCTTCAGAGGCTACTGTGGGACATCCCATCCCCCCTTCCAGAGGTCAATGGGATGTCCAAAAAGCTTCAGAGGCTACTGTGGGACATCCCACCCCCTTTCTTGAGGCCAGTAGCATGTTTCATCATAGCTTTGGAGGTTACTGGGGGCCATCCCCCCAATTCTGCATACTCCTGGTATATTGAAATACCTCAGATACCATGGGAACTCATCTAATGAATTTTTCAGAGACATACAAGACTAGCTTTACTACCTATGTGGTCTTTTACTTGGAGATGATGGGAGATCCATATCTAATACATCCAATTCCCAGTCATCTGCCCATGAGAACTCTGTCAATGACATCTCACTGAACTGTTGGTGATATTCATCTGCAAGAGCAAATTCCTCAGCAACACACAGCAAGTCACCATCAAGCACTTCATCATCCCCATCATCATTTTCAGATTCCAAGTCCTCCCATCCCACCTCTTCATTTCTGTCCATGTCCATGATGAGTGGTGCATAATCCATATTCTTCCATTCTTCAACCCTTGCCTCCCAGCTCTCATCAGCACCTCCTGGAAAGTCCCTCAATTTTTCCTGCCACAGGAGACTCAGACTTGCTAATGCTGAAGCCCTGCAGTCCAGTTCATATGCATATGCAAGATCTGCACCTGATTTTCATTCAATTATCTTAATACATTCAATGACACAACAGCTCTCTTACCTGCATCCACTCTGCATTTCTCCAGCCTTCTCCATTCTTCTGAGTGCCATTCCATCAAGCTTTTTCTTTCATACAGGAGCCTCCTTTCCTCTTCCTCACACCTCTTCAGCTCAAGGAGTGACCTGATCCCCAAGTGCACCCTTTCATCAGCTAACCAAGCTGGTGGCAATCCCACAGAATCATCCTCAAGACCAATATCCTGCCAGATATCATCATCCACATCTAGTTTGAACAAACCATCCCTTTGGATCAGTATAGGTGCTATGGCCCCTTGAGGGGCTTTCCCCTGGTGGATGAGAGCTACCAACTGCAAACACAAATTATTGTAGGAGGTAGAAAGCTTGACAATTCCAGGTTCTTGTCACCAGACAGATCCTTCCACATGGATTTGAAGTTTTTGTTCTTCAAAGCAGTCAACCACAAGAGGCAAATGCTTAAGAGCACCACTTACCACTAACTGTCTGGCTGGTAAGACCATTCTAGTCTCTCTAATTCAAACTTTCATTGACACAGACAGTCCTCAGATATGCTTCTTGATTGCCAATGCATGCATATGCAGCTGAATGCTTTGAATTCAATCAACTTATAAATCTAGAAGAGGAAGAACCACCAGCCTGAAGAAAGGAACTATTCTGGAGCCTGGAAAGCTCTGCAAACCCATCTATTCCAAGGCTTGCCCTCTGTCTTTGTGAAGCTTGTTTGAAACACATAATCATTTTTGTGACACTTAGCTATCTGTATATTTAAATTTGTCATATCAGCTCCTCCTTGGAGAAGACCCTTCTCCAGTTCATCTAGTCTGGCATCATAAGTTTCCAGTGATTTCTGAGTTGCCATCATTTGCATTATAAAATTTTCTGTGGCTTTTGCAGAGTACCCTTAATTTACTGTCAGCTCACAGCAAGAGGAATCACTTATACAGGAAGCTTATGAGATGCTGGCTTGGTTTGTACTGAAACCTGAGCCTCCCATTCAGCTTGAAGTGTCTGAATATTGATTCCAGATTTTCTTAGACCCTTTTTTGCAGAAGCCTTTTTTTCTTGACAGTGGTTCCAGCCTGCAAAAGCCACTGGCCAAGACCAGTAAGACTCTTCATGTCAAGATAGTGCACCTGGGAGTCAATGACAAAGAGGCATTGATGATACTGAATAAAATATTAGCCTGCATTTTGTGACACAACTAACTGCATACCCCAGAAACTTGCAGAGATGGTATTAGTGGCTTAATTGAACTCCAAAATCGCTCACAACCCTCTCCATCAGAAAGTCCAAACCCTTCTCATTTCCAAGGGTGATAGATGAGCTGGCAAGCCCATTGATGACCAAAGGCATGAAAGACTGATATAGCAAAAGAAATTTGGGGCAGAAATGGCCCAAGGTAGCCCCACTTTCTGCAGCTCTGTTCAAGCTGACAGCCTATGTCATATAACAGCCCAATGTGAAAATCATCAGGGAGGTGACTGAATAATGATTTGATAAGGGCAAGTGCATAGTGTTGCTTCTCCCCTGCTGAAGTCATGTTGGCAAGGTGAATAACACAATCATGATGACAGAGTAGGGCCATAACTCCAGTATCTGAAAAGAATTGGGTACTTGCCTATACCACCATCAGAATATTGCAGACAGGTTAAATGATTAAGCTCACTTTCTGACATCTCTCATCAGCTGCAGTGAAGGATTCATTACAACCCTTGAGGACTGATGGTGGTATCCTCATACCCTGCTCAAATCTATCCTCATCTCCACAATTCTTCTTAGAAGACTGACCACTCCTCTTTTGCATTGATGCCTTGTCCTTCTCAAACCTTCAACCTCACATTCCATAGTATCAATGTCTTCTTGTGACAGAAAAACTGAACCTGTAGGGTTTACTGGATCATCCTGTTGACTTCTTCTATGTTCTGGGTAAAGCAAGCATCAATGCAAACAATTGCATCAGGATCAGAGGAGCTAGGACCCAAGACTATTTAGTAAGATTATGTATGTGCACCAAGAAACATACCTATTATTATTTTTCCAGTTGCAACTACCAAAGCACAATGGACAATGCTTTCATAGGTATTCTGAAGGCCATGTCCTTGAACTTGAGACATCTGGAGGGTGGTGAGAGGATGATGGAACTGCAGGGAGGATGTCAGCTGGTGGGGTTGCAGCACTTTCCAGGTGTTGTTGAACATATTCATCAACTGAGATTTCCAGGATGCAATACCAGTGGTATGCATTACTAAACCTTCACATATACCTTCCTGTAAGTATCATTAGCAAACATCATTAATAGATATGGATGGAAATAGTTAAAAGCATGCATTGACTTGATAAACACAGCACAAGATCAGATCTGCAGACATGTGCACATTCATACAACCACAGTGCAATCATTCATTAGACACAAACAACAAAGTCCCAATAGGTTAGACATACACAAAACTGTAGTCTCATAATCACAACATAAATGAAAACAGTGGATACAGATAATATAATCATTGGGACAGAATTCAGACACAAACCTTTGTGTCTACCTTGTAGCCCATGCTAGCAAGATATGCTTCAAGGGACTCACACCACACAGAAATGTTTGGGGGCATGCACATAAAGACCTGCCTGACCAGACTCAGAAGCTATAAACTGACAGCAAGGGTTGGCCCCAGTGGCACAGATGGAAAGTACCCCATCTGCAGGAGCTGAAGTGCCACCATGTGCACATGGACAGATGGTGAGATCAACCATTTGCAAACCTGGCACAAGACATATGTCTAAGTAGAGAGGAAAACATGCAATAAAATCTTACCATTGAAACTAACACAAAGAACCTTCAACCATCAAGAAATGCAACTACACTCTGGTCACTCATAGTCAACATGGTGCTGGAAATTTCTAGAGAACTGTCAATATGCAAGATAGGGCTTGATAAGTGAGGGATGGTTTCAGATGACCACCACTGCCATTGTCTCATTTTCTTGTGAGCATTGTGGGACAGGCAAGGATGGTGGGGCAAAAAAGTCATCATGACTGACATGTAGCCCCTCCATTAGACAATCCAAATGGGCAAGGGTGAGCTTGTCCTCAGATGGGAGGCAAGCTCCCATGAGGGGAGGGGAGTTCATAGCAGAAGCAGTGCGGAGGGCTGAAGTCCCCTGAGGCAGCTGTGTGAAACTGAATGCCCAGGCAAAGTGACCAGATGTTCAATGGGAAGGTAAAAATTGCCTGTGCCCAGTGCACAGTGCAGTGGCTCAACCTGGTCATGGTCAACAAGTACTGCTTGACCCCCAGAGGAATGCAAGTCAGAGACTGGTACAGGGGGAGGATGACTCCCAGAGGAATGTGAGTTGGAGGTCATGGAATCAAGGAACAGTGATTCAAAAACTTCCTTGGGCAATGAAATGACATCTGGAATGTTGATCAGTTCTCTAGCCAGGGAGAGATGACAATCCAGCAACACCAAGTTGGAGGACTGTGACCAGAACACCTAATTCTAGTCTGCTGGTCATCAGCACCAAGCTGCCACAAGCATGTCCAGTTAGCTGGCAGTGATAGATGAAAGCTGACCTTTTGATACATGATAGGCAAGAACAATGACACAGACAAGGGGTGAAAATGATGCAGATTTTATGGTAACTACAAGTACATAGCCATGTAATTATGCTTGTGGGGGACAGGGGGGAAGTGTGGATGCCAATGCAGATGATAATGTGGATGATGAAGGATTAAGTGGTTATTGCCCAAGCCATAAATACTGCGAGGATTTTTCAGAATAAGACAGGAGGACAATAGGCAAATGACCAAAGTTATTGAAGAATGACTGCACATAAAATAATGCAAGCCATTTTTCCACTGCCCAAACATGTGCTGGTGAGGCTGATGATGGAAGTGAGGTTCCCAAATCTGGCAGAAACCCTGGCCATGAAGCAAGCAACATCCAGAACCTCTCAACATATTCCAGCTTTGTTTGGGGTTCTAGTGAGGCCAGACCTTGATCCTTAACTGGGAAGGGTTTGGCAAACATGATAAGCTCCAAATCTCCTGGGAAGATCTGCATAAAAATTTAGTAATGGATTCTTTTGAGGTGCAAGGCAAAAACTTACCTGATGGACTTGGTCCAGCCACTCAGATTCCACACTTGACCAGAGGGTGGGCACCAGCAGATGGTCCAGGGCAACCAGCTCAAAGTGGAAATTGTGCTCATACAGGTCCCAGAGAATCTTGCCCTTTGTCACTGAGTTGATGGTAGCAAGGTCTGTGAGATCAATTGTAATGTTGTGGAACTGCACATGACTTAGTACATCATGCTGAACCTTCATGAACTCTGGACCAAAGATATCAGCAGCTTCATGTATTTGGTTCCCAGAAAAACTGATTGAAATGCAGTCAGGAATTGTGTTAAGATAATTGTGCCACAAATGGGGAATGACAGGGGATGCATCCAAAGCAGCAAGTCATGTGATCCAACCTGCTTGGGTCACCAACCAATTCTGAGGTACCTCTGCCTCTGCTCCAAGGACTTGCCTCTCATAAATAGCATGGGGTGAGGGAAAAAATATGTGATTTTGGGCACACTGGCATGAATTCTCTTGGGGTCCTTGTTGATGTCAGTAAGCACAGCATTCCACAAGTAAATGTGAGTAGGGAAGGCAGGATCATCAAAATCCTGTGGCAAGTCAATGTTTGGAGCAGTGGAAGTCTTGGCCTTCTTTGAACCTGCAGAATTATCTGAGCAGATGGTTGTAAGTGTAAAGATCTCGATCAGTAATGAAACACCCACAAGGACTGCTGTGATGTTTAGCCCTATCCATTCTGACAACTCCTGAGGCAGAGCTGGGCATGCTGGAACTTGTAGGTATTCAAGGCCACTGAGCCAGAGGTTGTGGAAGTCAATGCCATGGGAATTGGGTCTGGCCAAGGCACCACAAATTGCTCAAGACCCACTACTGGAGCTTTGTGGGTGTAGACATGCATAGGATCGCCAGGGTAATACCACCTAGCATTCCACTTGAGCATTTGGCCAACCTCAAACTCATCTGGGGTAGTGATAATGCCCTCCAGGCATGTAATGTCAACCTTGCATGATGTATCTTCATATCCTTTGGCACTAACTCTGGCTTCCAGACTAGCCATATGGGGATGTGTGCTTCAAAGAGTCACTTGCAGACATCAGGATCTGTGGTAAATGCACCCATCCAATGCTGTTTTGCATTAAAAAATGGGCCAGAAGGGGGGGTAATTTTTATCTCAAGGGAGTCTACCATAGCATAAATATCCAGACAAAGATGTTGGAAGAGCACAACTAGGACCACCATTCATGGAAGGTGAATGGGAGTTGCTACAGAATTGTCAACTATTGAAATATCAGACAACAAGATATCATACCTTCAGACACATGAGAGACCTTTGACATTGCCTAATCCATATGTGCACCCAGAGAGGTCCCTCATTGTCTGGGTTCTTTGGTGGCCAGTTCTTCAGCTGTTCTTCTAGTCACTTATACACGATTTCCAGATGCTTCCACTTGTCTGGATGAACCCTACCAAACCTGAATGCTGATCCTCTCTCCAAGGCAAAGTCTTCCAGCACATTCCTGATGTTCCACCACATCCAAGACCATGTCAGGTTGTCCCAATAGACTGCATGTCAAGGGATACATCCAGCCCACATATAATGCTTGGCATATAGTTGAGGCCACTGGAAACAGTCGATGTGGCCAAATCAGCCATCATGGCAGAGTATGATTGTCCTCCCCTCAAAGAGAAATGATTTGGGAATGAAGTTGGCATTAGGAGAGGTGATCCAGTGGTCATTATATTTCATGAGAACACATGCATTGAAGGCACCATAATTCTCTGAAAGAGAATGCATTGGTTATGAGCCACATTAGGTTAAATAATAGAGTGCACCATCACCCAGTTGGGTTGCTGCCATGACCTGTTGAGTGCATTCTTGAGGTATATTGATCCTATAAATGAAATAAGAACTGAAATATGTAGCATCTTAGTACAGATTCCACTACAGGGTCAATAAAAATGTACCCAGGAGATAAGAGGCATTCAAAGGGGGGAGGAGATAAATAAAGCAATACAGCTATAGTAGAATTGTTGAAGCACACCCTGGCACTGAGTCGGAGTACCAGCCATGACATGGAGTCACATCATCCAAAGTTCCTCTGACAACACTAGCATTACTGCTATCTGTGAGACCATCAAGGGGGAGATAAATGAGAAAACAAGTGGATCATGCACCTACACAGTATATAGAACCTTGCACCCAATGAATATTTCATGCCCAGATGCCAGGCACACAGTCTTCAATGCCCTGAGTTGCACTATGCAAGGTAGTGCCTCCACAAAATGGAGTCTCGTCTGCATGACTGGTACCATGAGCATGCCAAGTTTACTGAGATAGGCACCAAACCTATCTCAGCACTTGAAGGGCACCAAACCCTTTGAATCCTAGCAGAGGAATGTGCCAAACATTCCTCTCCATGACATGAATTGATAAAAAGAAAGAAGAAGAAAGAAGAACTCACCTTAGACAGTAGCATGAAGGTGGTCATGGATTAAGATGCATGGATCATTTGAAGGGCTTGCAAAAGAAGTGTGACAAGTGCAGTGAGCATGTGATCATTACCACATTAAGTCAGAGCTGACTTAGCATGAGAAATTTGCTGGCAGTGTGTGTGGACTATTTGGTGGTGGCAGTGCCATGGCAACATTACGATGCTGCTGGTATGCAGTCAGGTTCATGCATGCAGGGCAGGCTAATTGGTGCCTGAACCTAATATATAACATATGTTGTAATGCCCCCACATTCAATTCAAACCAGAGTCCCAGAGAAAATACCAACAAATTAATTGTCATAGGTGTGTACTTAGTAACCAAACATACACAATGTTGACACATTTGCACCCTTGTTTCCCTTCTCCACTCTCCACTCTCCACTCTCATTGTCAATCCTATGCCAGGGAAATGCTTAGTGCATCCCCTACCAAGCATCAGGGGCTTGGTGCCCTTGATGGCTCTTGAAGGCTTGGAGCCTTCAAGAGTCATCTTGGTAAGGATTGGCTATTGGTCACACAGTCAAGACTCCATCTCATGGAGGTGCTACTTCATATAGTGCAACTTGGGGTGTTAAAGACTGCCTGCTTTCCTTGGCTACCCTGGAGTCCATCTTTTACTTCCCAAATGAGACTCAGCTGTTCACATTACCTGCTGGCGAGTTTGAGGATTGTGTCTCCCCTAGATGTTAATCAAGTTTCTCTTCACTTTCTCAAACTTCCTGATCAATGCTACATTCTCTCCATCATCTGTTAAGGTCAACATTTGTCCTTGGCTGCCCCCATCTCTGCCTTCTCCTTCTCAAACAAGACTCTGTTCACTTTGCCCATTGGTGAGTTCAAGGTTTTCATCTCCCTTCCTTGGCTGATTTCCAATCATCTTTGTATAGGGATGCCAATTGGGTTTCTCTTGCTCACTTTCTTACTTTCCTGGTTAAGGCAGTGTTCTCTCCATCATCTATTAAGGCCAATGGTTTTCTGTGGCTACCCCCAGCTCTGCCTTGTCTGTCTGAGAGAAGACTCCTTCACTTTTCCTGCTGGTGAGTTCAAGGCTTGTGTCTCCCCCTTCCTTAGCTGATCTCTGATCATCTTTGTATAGGGATGCTAATTGGGTTTCTCTTACTTGCTTTCTTGCTTTCCTGGTTAACACAGCATTCTCCCCATTATCTATTAAGGCCAATGGTTTTCTGTGGCTACCCCCAGCTCTGCCTTGTCCATCTGAGACAAGACTCCTTCACTTTTCCTGCTGGTGAGTTCAAGGCTTGTGTCTCCCCCTTCCTTCACTGATCTCCGATCATCTTTGTATAGGAATGCTAATTGGGTTTCTCTTGCTCACTTTCTTACTTTCCTGGTTAACACAGCATTCTCTCCATTATCTATTAAGGCCAATGGTTTGCTGTGGCTACCCCCAGTTCCATCTTCTCCTTCCAATACTAGAGTCTTTTCAATTTGCCCACCAGTGAGTTTGAGGCTTGCATCTCCCTTCCTTTCACTGAGCTCCAACTGCCTTTGTGTGGAGACATTAATCAGGTTTCTCTTCTTTGCTTTCTTACTTTCATGGTCAACAGTACATTCTCTTCAACATCTATTATGCCAGGGGAACATTTGGTGTGTCCCCTACCAAGTGCCAGGGGCTTGGTGCCCTTGGCAGCTCTCAAAGGCTTGGAGCCTTCAAAAGTCATCTTGGTATGGATATACCCTAAACTCTACCTTTTCATTTCCTGAGGATATTCTGTTCATTTTACAAGCTGGTGAGTTCAAGGCTTGCTTGTTTCCTCAGTTCCTGATCCCTGATTACTCCTGTGTAGGGGATGCTAATTAAGCCTTCCTAGTCCTTCCTAGTGTTGTCTCTGCTTCCATCATAGTGAGCCATGAATGAGTAAGTATTTAGCCTTTGCATCTATTCCATTAGTTATATTCTTTACCTGGGGCACACAATGATCCATTTAACAAGAGTGTAATTATGACATCTCTACAGACTGTGCATGCAGGATTCACTGAGGCAGATCCTACATGTTATTCCATGGCTGCTAACAAATGGGGAAGAAGAACCTTCTGTTGGAAATCCACCTATTGACTTACAATATTGTCTGTGTTTCTCTCCCTCTCCCTTCCAATCCTTGTCTCACTATGTGCCAGCCACCCTCACTTGATAATGGGTGAAGCATAAGTGCCATCAACCTAAGTGTGTGATTTTCTGACCACTGTCTGATAGCTAACATTCAAGAGTTATGCAGGTGCTCTAATCACTATTGTTTTGCATCTTGAACTGAGCACAGTCAATGCTGAAACCCTTGCTGACATCCTACTTTTGAGATCCCAGCATGAAGGTGGGTGATTTTCCAAGATTTTTGTTCCTTGACAGTAATCATCTCCCATAGCACCATCATTTCTGTCAAGTTTGGCTCCCTCAATGTCTTCATCCTGTCAGGAGGGCACCACTGCAGTCCCTTTCCTCCCCCTTTTTCCCCATCAGACTGGAGGTCCCCACTCCCTCCATATCAATACATCTAATGTCCACTTGACACCCCTGACTCCACCACTGTTCTTGTCCATGGACATCTGGATGTGGAACCAAGGGATCTGTCTCTGGCAGATGAGTGTTGGCATACTTTGACCAGAGTATTTTTCATGGTGACCCTGTAAACATACCTGTTTTGTATAAAGCTTTGCTTTTTATTTTTAATTCTTAATTTGGCTCAAGTGTAACCAACAACATGACTACTAATGGATTTTCCACCTGGTGCAGGTAAGTGGAGATATCACAAATACAAAGGTTTCAAGATTGGGATCTGTTCATGGATTTGTTGTTACTGACCTCCATCCATTCTTGCCCCAACCATTTGGTGCAGTTGTCCACAAGAGTTGAGGGCTTGGCACCCTTGGGGGTTTGGAGCCTTTGAAGGTTCTCATTGATTGCATCTACAAGACCCTTGGGAACAGAGTCATGGCATCATCCAAGCCTTTCTGTTCACCATCATCACATGTGTATCATATTATTAAGTGGTACATATTCCCTCTGTCTTGGTTGTTGCATCTTCCTTACTGTTCTCTTGCTGTTCCAGCATTTACCAATGTTTTGTTGTCAATTGCATGCATGAAACCCACACAAACAGAGCTCATCTTCCAAGGCTCTCCATTTACTGCCATTGCACACATATGCCATTACCAAGTGGTACATATTCCCTCTGTTTTGGGCCTTCAGGGGTTTGAGTCTCTGCTTATTGGTGATGTATTTCCTCCATTTTTGTTATTACATCTTCCATTCTGCTCACTACCATTGCATGTGTATGTTATTATGAAGTGGTACATACTCTTTCTGTATTGGTTGTTGTATATTCCTTATGGTTTGTTCCACCTGGTATTTATCATGATATGGCATGACACCAATCTTCTTTTCTGATATTTTCCTTTTGTTCCACTCACTACTCATGTAATAACTGCAAGTGTCATTATTCCATCCCAACAACCTGCCATTTTACCAAATAACTCCATGGGTTTTTTTATGTCAGGTGAGGCATGACTTTACTTAAATACCTCATCTGACCACTTTTCCCCTCCTCCCCCATTATTCTTGACATGCCTTGCATGGCAAAAGGTGTTGACCAAGTCACAGACAACTCTATGGATTTGCACACCTGGGTTCTTCAAAACTGCAAAATCCCCACCACCAAGATGGCCCCTCCACCAGAGGTAAGTTATCTTGTCACCATTGATCCCATCTGACCCCTGCCTTCACAGATCAGAAAAGACAAGCCCAAGCCCTGGCACATGGTGCAACTGCCTGAAGGATGGGAAGAACATATGTTCAGTCTCCATGACAGGAGGAGATCACTCACTCCTAGTGTCTCTGTGTCCTCCCAAAATTCCACTACCCCGATCTTGCAGGAAGACCAGGTTGAGAGTGCTCTGATGGAGGAGGATGCTGGTGAGGCTGAGGCTGAGGAGGTTGAGGTCAACATTCAAGCTGATGAGGGCAGTCAATGTCCTGATGATGGGGCTAGTCAACTTCTGGATGATGAAGGTTCATTTTTTTTTGAATATTTTTCTTGTTCTCTCACAGTTCTGTGGATGTTGTGTTGTTATATCCTTGACTCCAGGGTTTGGTGCCCCCTGCTTCTCTCATCTGACTGTGGGTTCAGTGCCCAATGGTCTAAAGCCAGGTGCTTTGGATCCTCATGAGAGTTGCCAAGTGTCCTGTGTCATTTTCACTTTTTTTTCTAGACACTTTGTTATCCTTTCATGTGTCTTTTGTCACACTTCAATGTATTCTATTCTGATATTGACATGCTCATAGTAGATGAGGATGGTTCTGAATCATCACTTCCTCCATCTTCACCACCAGCTGAAGACTCCAATTCCAATGCTGAGGATGAGTTTCCCCCACATTGTCCTGGTTGCTGTGTGGAACACAAACCTAAAAGCAAGGGCAAAAGTAGGGCTATGGATGTTGACAACAGTGATATAGCAAGTCAGGATGATCATGAACCTGCCTGGAATGCAAAATTTAAGAAGACTGGGAACTTGCCCTGTGCTGCTCTCAATGAGATACATGACTTTGCAGCCAAAGTCAAGGCAAAAGCAGAAGAACTTGGACATTGACATGACAAGTCTCCTCATGACATCCTTGTTGCTGCTGGGCTCAGTGTCAAACCATCTCACACAAAGCTCAATGAGGCCAATCTCTTCTGCTCATGGTATTGGGCCACCCAACTGAAACCTGATGGTGGTATGCATGCCCTTGTCACAGATTTTCTTTTATAACATTCTTCCTATCTGACTGAAACAGAAAGGAGAAGTTGAAGGCTGTTTATGAATGGAGTGAGAGCTCCTCAGCAGTGCCCACTAACAAATCAATCAGAGTCCACAACATGAAGATGCAGTTCTCCAGATTGGTAAGTGGTTGTAAGTGGGTGGATGGGGGGCAGATCTTACCATCAAGCAGGCTGAAGTGTGGTCAGCTCTTGAAGACATCAAAATTGCTGGAGTTGTGATGTATGTTGGACAATACCCTGCAGGATGCCAGACCTCTGGCATATTTGGTGGTTCCAATATCATATGAAAGTACATCAATGATCCTGCCATTGATGTTCAGGGACTCATGGACAAGTACACTGCAATATTTAAGTGATGTTACACATATCTTACTTGGACTCATTGCAATTAGGTGTCTCAAGGATGGTAATGGTACTGAAGCTGGGTTATTAGGGATGAGTGCTTCTGCCAGTTCAGCTGCAGCATTGGAGTTGCATTGTCGAATGAAGGAGATACCAAGAGATCACAACTGCTGGGTATTTGGATCTATGATGAAGGAGAAGTTGATAACAGCACTCAAAGATCTATGCAGTACATATTTCTAATATTCCATATATTCTCTTCTAATTGTCTTCCCATAAGTGACATGTGGGGTTGAAGTTGGTGATCCCCAGAAAATCATTTGGCAGCAGCTTCTTGAGTTCATTAGGAGGAACTCTCTTGTCATAATCAACTGGCTGCTTGGGGTGCCTCCACCAGGCCCTGGTTTTGAGTACAAGAAACTCAAAGTTGCCACTCTCTGCCAACTTGTGGTACCTTATCTGTGGAGAAAGCTAGGCTCAATGTACAATGGACAATCTGATGATGATGATGATGATGATGATGATGAGAAAAATGATCATCTGGATGGTGTGCCAGAGGTCAAAATCAAACCCTGGAATGAAGGTATTGTGTACATTTTTTGTCTAACTGATCGCTGACCATTTTTGCAGATGTCATTAGCATAGGGGATGCACACCCATTAAAGGGAGAGACCGCACTGGTCAAGGCTCCTGATGGCACAGTTTTGTGCAAGGTGTCTGACAATCCCAAGTGGCAGAAGTCTCACAAAGAAGGGGATCCAGGTATGGCAGTACCCCATGCAGAGTGGAATCCCATTTCCATCATGCAAGTGGCCTTGTGTGGAGGTGATGGATAATGACACAGTTCCTTGTGAGGTGAGTCAATCCACTCAACCTTTGGTGTCTACTAATGTTCCCCAAGGCTTCATGCTCTGACTGCCAAATGCCACTGCATGATGAAGGCAGGGATGCATGCCCCATTGCTGGTGACCATGGTGTAGTGGTTGACCCTGCTGCATTTTGGTTGAAACTAACAGGTGACATGCACAGGATGCACTTGGTGACCCACCAGCATGCACAAGCTGCGAGAACACTTGAGAGTCCAGTCAATCTGAGTGCCCCTTGCCAGCTTGGCACTATGGGGTGAGGTCTGGACATACCAGTTGATTAAAAGACTAATGGAGGACTGCACAGCATCTGCATCATGATGCTGTCCCAAGCTGTTCACACCTGTGGGACCCTGGCCCTTCTCAGCAGTTTCCACCATCTTGGCATTATGAGGTGAGTATCCCAGGCATTCTGCATCTTGAAGGAGACCAATAGGATGTCCTGCAGGACCCTTGTTATGACCATGCCCACTATCATGATCCTGGCCCCTCCAATGTTCCCTACAATGTTCATGATTTGATCCTTTATTGTCACATTTTGTTTAGCTTCTCTATAGGTATTTCTGCCTGCCTGCCACAGTTCAGGGCATTTCCCTCTGTCTCATCAGATGTATCACATACCATCTTGCCCTGACCATCATATTTACCATGATGCTCCATATATCTCTGACTACTACCCTGCAGCCCAGCCCACAGCACAGCAATGGGTTGACAGAGGTAGTGCTGCACAGTATGAGGATGAATTTCCTGAGGATTACATAGATTATTAGTCTCCTCAGTATTTTCTTTAGAAATACATGTTTGTTTTTCTGTGATAGGGTGAGCAATGAATGAATGAAATCTCTCAGTTCTCTGTCATTTTGAATGCAAGAGCATTTGTGTCTGCTTGACTGTTATTTTGTTACCTCCTGTGGCCACACTGCCATATTGCTGCTCACTTGATCTACCAATGAATTTTCTACTGATTGACATTCAACAGGGGAGATGCATCTACTCAAAATACTGTACTCTTGTTTGAAGAGTTTGAGCTGCAGAGAGCTGGGTCAAAGGACATTTGTGGTGAAGCCTGGAGGCCACACCTACAGATAGAGGAGCCTCCAGCAATGGGGAGGGGATATGGTGACATTAAGCAAGTGTTGATGTGGTGATCACTGACTGACAACTCTCCTAGTGTCACTGTGTCCAATGGCCAGGGGCTCTGGTGAATTCTGCTGCCTGGTTTCCTGTGTACTTTATCTATATTCTATTACTGTGATCAAGTAAGTGTTTTTCCCTGGTGAGTTGAGGGAACTGAGTAGAATTCAAATGGAATTGACATGATTATCTTGATGTTGCCCAAGTCCCTTTAATCTGAAGTACTGTTAACCTTGCCTCAACACCACTTTCAATCCTTGCTTTCCAACCTTCCCACCCCCCTCACCATGTGGAAAAACCCTACCTGTCAAACCTGAAGGAAATTGAGTTTTGAGTGTTTTTATTCCCCTCAAAATTCAGGCCATCTACCCATTATTACAGGGCAACATCTTATGCTTACTAATCAGGTGTTGTTATCATCATCAGGATACTACAGTTCTATGTTACATGCAAGCACTGTAGAGCTGCAGAGGCTGACTTCCGGATTTATTTTGGTCTTGTCTGGGTTCTCTCATTAACTTTGCCCCACAAACATTGTTCAATGCTTTTTCTAAGAGCCTATTTTTGTGTTGAGAATTAATCTACCTGCATTGCTACTAAAACAGGTCTATCTTTTATCAGACCCACCATGTTGTTACCATTTGCAGCTGCACAATTTGCCCCCATTTAATCTGCAACATTGGCCCTTCACTGTGCTCTGTGAGTTAGTATGAAAAGTAGATAACATCACCTGTGCAATATGTCAATACAGACCTGCATGGTGGATCTGGTTGTCTTAAAGCTGCCACAAAATTGATTTGAGAGCATTTTAGTATTCTGACATATGTATAGTACATGGACATCCTACTGGCCTCTATGGAGAGGGGTGGAATGTCCAACTGGCCTTCAGAGGGGGGAGTGGGATGTCCCACAGTATCCTCCAAAGTTATCATGGGACATCCCACTGGCCTCTAGAGAGGGGGTGGGATGTCCCACAGTAGCCTCCAAAGCTATCATGGGACCTCCCACTGGCCTCCAAAAATGGTGGGTGGGATGTCCCATCATTGCCTCTTGGTTGTTCTACATAGATGACCTTGATGAACATGTGACTAAAGGTGGGATTGAACCAGCACTCTCCTGGGTGTTGACCTTGTGGTTTAATCACTGAGCTATATGGTTTGAGTACTAATGTCATTTGCTTTGGGGTTAGGTCAGAACTTTGGGAATAATTATCCATGAAGAGTAATACACAGAATGCACCATCTCCAACAGACTTCAGTGGCCTTTGGCAACACAAGTCCACCCTTCCTTTGAGAATCAACAAAGTTCAGTTTTCTGCCCATCCTGGCTGGATAGGTACTTGAAGCACATGGTGGTCCACTGGAGGGCCTTACAGCCCAGGGTCACCATGGGACAGTGGGGTTCTCACATGCTCGTGCCCCACAATTGTGTCATGTATTGTGCTACAATCTATTCCTTGGCTGGGAAAGTCTTCCACTCATCCTGATTCAATGCATTTAGTATGATCTTATTAATGTGTACTCCTTCTATAAGCAATGGAACTTACTCATAGGACAGTGCTGAATCTGTTAAAATTTATACAATGATGCAAGGCTCACTTCCAGAAGTATTGTATGATTCTGGAGATGACACCTCACAATTGCACTGATTTCCTACCTCAAATCTGTGCATAATAAGTGTACCAAATGGTTTTGGAAAATCAGTGGCTGCCATATACATAGGCCCCTACTTTTCCAGGTATTTTCATCATCCTGGATGATTGTGATAGCTATGGTTTCTTGGTCAGAAGTGGGATTTCAGTGTGAATATGAGCTGCACTTTTGCAGTTGAGGACCCCTGACACCCAAGGCAGCCATGGGACAGCCCAAAATATATTACCAGGGGGCTGGGATTATGGGACATCCCAGGTCCTGCACACTGCAAATAGCCCTAGGACATGGCCAGATGTCCCTGGGATGACCTGGTCTGAGTGGCTTTTAGCTTGGATGATTTGTAGAAAAACTTCAGCCTGAATGCTTATGAAAATTGGTTCCCTGAAGTGCATGCAGATGACTTTTTTCCATCTGGTAATTTTTTGGCTCCTTGAGGCATAGAAGTGGTATAAGTTTTGGGTGGCAATGCAGTCCCCTCCAAGTCCTTCCCACAATCAGGATACTGGCACTGATAGGAATAAGTTGAATCAGCACTAACAGCCAGCCATTCTTGTATGCTCCCACACTGAGGGCATTGAGCAGGCAAGTACTGACCCCAAGGTTTGATGAACTTGTCAGTCCAAATGTACCTTTCTACCAATACCCTCCCTCCTTGAGACCCCCAAAACATGAGGATGATGTTTGAGTGTCTACCCAGCACCCCACAGTCCTTGAGGGCAGCCTTGACTGTCTTATCCATCTGTTGAAAGCCTTGGATGATGGTAAGGTCCAAAACACTCATGAGGAAAGGAATGGTGTTGACAGGGAGTAACCTGTCTGCATCAAAGAGGAGCATTGACCCCTCCCTGAGCTCAGTGCAGCTTAGGACATTGAATTAAGTTGTCATCCATCCTTCTGTAGGCTAACAGTTGTCTACCCCACCACATCCTCTCACATTCTTGCTCCTTTGTCAGGAGCACCCCCAACCCTCAGCACTCATCTTTGAGTGTTGTAGCTTGAAAAACCCCACCCAAATAGAAGGTTCCACTATCTAGGTACTGCATAGGCACACCACCACTTGCTCTTATTGTCTTTTATGTTGGTTTTGGTTGGTTTTCACCACTGAACCACACATTGACTCACAATGATACATATACTTTCCCTTTTCTCTTTTTCTTTTCATCTTATCTAATCTCTTATCTTATCTTGTCTCTTTGAACTTGGTCCAGACTCCAGTCTAGACCTTGCCTTGTTGTCACCATGTACCCCCCCTCTAGTACTTTCCACTCCACTGTGATGTCATGGACCTCATGTTTGCCTCACTGTTACCACATGTACCATAGTATAAGTACTGTTGTTCAATCCCCAGACTAGCTCCAAGCTAGTTCATTCAGGTCTACAAGATCTAAAGTCACCTGCTTCTAAAGCTGTCTCCTCTTCTTTTCTCTCTTCTTCTTTTGGTTCTTGGTGTGAGCCTACAACAAACCCTGTTGTCAGGTCTTGTCACACTTGAACTAGCTTCTCATCATTGTACCCTCACACCATCTGTCACCATTCCTCACTTCCTTTGCAAAGGCTTGTGGGTGTACTTTCCAAGTCCCCCAGCCTCTGAACCTGACCCAAATCTCTTCAAACCACCCACCTCTGAGCATTGCTAGTTCACCCTGCTTTTCAATCACTCCCTCTATCCTCTTCCCCCATCCCCTTCATACCCCTTCTCTGTTGACTCTGCCTTCCTCTGCTCTCCCCCCCACTGAACCTCAGCAATCCCATTACAACCTCCACCCCTGACAAATGCTGAAATATCCTGATCAACATGGAAGGAATCCAGGACCAGATCACCAACCTCCAAAACACCCTTGACACCCTAAGGGATGAAAACTACAGGCTAAACAACAGCCTAAGAGCCACACAAGAAACTGTCACCATGATCAAAGGGCAATATAACCAATGGAATGCACTTCTCACCAATGTCATACAGAGATGGATAGAGGTGATGGCTGATCCAGGCCAGTATGCAGGAGACTGTGCCAAATTCTCAGAATGGTGGGTCAAGATGAAGGTGTGGGTCACACAGAACAGGACTGCATTACCAACCACCCAAGACAAGTGCACCATGGTATGGTCCTGCATGACAGGGCCTGTGGCAGGAAGGTTTTCCCAAGCAAAGTTTTCTCTTGCCATTGTAACAGGAGTATGGCTGGATATGCAGGAGATGATAGAGGATATTGACCCTTTCTTCACCCCTCAGACTGACATTGAGTGGGCAAAATGCACAAATGCGCACAATGCGCCAGGGCAACTCTCACTATGAGGAGTTTTATGCCAGGTTTGAGTCTCTGAAGGTGCAGGGAAGGGTCACTGATGAAACAGCTGGCTTCCTGCTCGAAAATGCGGTCCACTCCACCATCGTTAAAGAGGCCCTAAGGAGGGGATATACTCAGGGCAATCATCTACAAATGACTGTCCAGTTTCCCCCTTGCCCCATCCCTGCACACATCAAGTGCTTCAACTGCCAGGGAAACCATTATAAGCACAATTGTCCTATGCCAAAGGCAAGGGTCATGCTAGACCCAACATATGGGAGGTCACTCAAGGGGTGCAGGAGACTGCCCTCCACCAGATGTCTTTCAAGGAAATGCAGGCATTCTTTTATGACAAACAGATCAATGAGATGAAAAGCCAGGGGTAAGAGTTTGGCCAGTAGAGGATCAGGTCTCCACTGGCTATGTTTACAACAAGTTTTCTGTGCTAGGCATTGATGATATCTCTACTGAACAGGATGTATTCATTCCAGAGAGTACTATACCATCTGGAGAGGCAACCCCAGTGGGTGTGGCCATGGATGTAAAACTGCTGGTCCTTAATTCATCTTGCAATAAAAATATAAACATGCCTATCCAGTCAACATGAGAAACCCTGAAAATAAGAACTGCTGATCCAAAAGCAGAGTTGGAGTTAGAGGTGGTGTTGGAAGGAAGAGAAAAGAGGTGGAATGTAAAGGCACTGGTGGATTCTGGGGCAAATGACACTTTCCTGGACAAGAAATGGGCTGATGAGAATGACATTCTTCTCATCAAGCTCAGACAACCTGTCTCTGTTCTGAATGTCAATGGTACCACTAATGTTGTGGGTAATATCACACACATCACCTCCCAGTCATGAACTATCAAGGACACAAGGAGTCCATATGGGCTCAGGTCACTATACTTTGTACCCACCCCCTCATTCTCAGATACACTTGGCTTTGGAAACACAACCCTGAGGTATGCTGGGAGACCAAGGAGGTAAAGTTGTCATGCTGTCCTTGTGAGTGTCATGACCTCACTCCAAGGACAAGAAAGGAGAAACTAGCTGAGGAACAGGAGGCCCAGGATATGGAGTACCTCTATCCAAATCTCTGTTCAACCAGGGTCATAGCAGGGACCACAGAGGAACTTTTCCCAAGAGAATACCACAAGTACCTCAAGGTTTTCTCCAAGGAAGAGTCTGAAAGGATGCCATTCCACAAACCATGGGACCATGCCATTGACCTGAAGGACACCTTCATCCCAAAACAGTCAAGTCCATGACATCTGGGTTTGAGACCAGACTGGAGACTGAGGCAGGTGTGAGGCCAAAGGGTCAGGATTAGGTGGGGAGCAGAGGCACATGAGATTGCTGTGCAAGCCTTCAAGAGGATGGCAGAGGCAGTGGAGCAGATGGCAGAGGCAGCAGAGCAAACAGCCAACAAGTTTGCACTGTTTTATGCCTGGGCAGAGTGGGCAGAGATGAGGAGGGAGGATGCACATGAGGCCAGGGTGGCTGAGTTTGAGCATGCAGGAGGAGGTTGGAAGAGGCCACAGTTGGAGGTGGCAGAGGACAAGGATGAGGAGGCGGATGAAGGTGTGGAGGGGGATAACAAGGAAGAGGAGGAAGTCAGAGGAGAGCAGGAAGGTGAAGGACAGGAGGGTGGCAAAGAACAGGCAATGGAGGAGTAGTGTAGTTTTCTTTTTTTTCTTTTTGTCTTTGTTCTTAGTTTGTATTTTTGTACTACTACAAAATAGACTTGTGACTTTTACTTTGTAACTCTGAGAAGTGAGATGGACATGCAGAGAAAGGTCTAAGGTACTTAAGGGAGTTTGGGAAGGGGCAGAGTTGGCCCATGGAGTATGGTTATGTGGATGGAGTACTATGGTGGAGGCTGGTATGGGCCAGGTTTGTGCAGATAGCATTCATGGAAAGTGGAGACAATGTTGGAGGTGTGATCCAACTCAGTTGCAAGCAACCAAGAGGTTTCTTCATCAGTGTTCTTGTAACCAGCCCAGCAGACTAGGTACAAGAGTTGACAGTGGCAGTGGCAGTGGTCCACCTTAGAGTCTAGTATTGCTGATACCTCATACTCAAGGTCACCATCAACATCAACCAGCAGAGGCAGAGGTTTTTGTTGGTTTGGGAAGGGGTTAGCTGCTGCAGCTTCCAGTTGCAAGACATGGAAGACCAGATGTATCAAGCACATAGAGTCAGGGAGCTTAAGGGTGATGGAGTGTGTACCTGGCCTGGCCAAGATGGTGAACAGACCTAAGTACTTTTTGGAGGGTTTTTCTGAGGGATGAGTGGAGTGGAAGTACTTGGCTTTAATGTAGGTCTGTTCTCTGACCTTGAACCCAGGTAGAGGTATGTGTTTGGCATCTGCTGGACCCTGGTAGCACTGCTGAGCCACAGACATTTCAGAGCAGAGGAAGTCATGGAGGGTGGAGAGCTTGATGATATAGTCATGAGCCTGCAGAGAGGTGAAGTCTTGGTCAGGGACCACAGACAGGTTTGGATGGTATCCCTTGTTGGCAAAGAAGGGAGAAACTCTGGTAGTTGCATTTGTTAAAAGCAAGCTCTGCTAGAGGTAAGAGCTCTGCCCAGTTGTCTTGTTGGTAGTTACAGTAGATGTGGAGGTACTGCTTGAGGGTCTGGTTCATTCACTCAGTCTGGCCATTGCCTTCTGGGTGGTAACCTGAAGTGAAGTGAAGGTGCATATTAAGGGCCTTTCCTAGAGAGCAGAAGAAGCAAGAGACAAACTCTGGACCTCTGTCAGAGGTGACATTAGCAGGCACTCCATGCTTGGAGAAGACATGGGTAAGGAAGAGCTTAGTGAGTTCAGTGGAGGTGATGGAGTCATGGGTGGGGATGAATGCCACTTGCTTTGAGAGGTGGTCCACTACCACAGGGATGGCAGAGTAACCATTGGAGTTGGGGAGGTGTTTGATGAAGTCCATGGAGATGTAGTTCCAAGGTCTTTCTGGGATGGGGAGTTGCTTCAGTAGACAATAGAGGTGGTGACATGGAGTTTTTGCTCCATCCACAGGCAGTGCAGGACCTGACATATTTTTTCACATCAGAGTGAAGTTTGGGCCACACATAGTCTCTGCAAACAAGTTCCAGGGTGGGGTTTTGCCCAAAATGGCCTGCCAGAGGGTGATCATGCTTGAACCAAAGCACTCAAAGGCAGAGGTCATTGATGCAGGAACAAAGATATGTCCATCAAGGCAGAGAAGACCATTGGAGTCCAAGGACCACCAAGGCTTAGTAGGAGTGGGAGATGGCTGGCAGAGATTGGGTTGGAATGTAGGGCAGAAATGATGTCAGAGTGCATGCCCTCAACATTGAAGACCATGGTGGCATGGAGCACAGGTGCCATGAGAGTAGTGGTACAGAGGGACAACATGAGTTGCTCCTGTGTAAACATAGGGTGGAGATTGTGAGGATTTACCTGCACATAGTCCCTATCCCCCCCTTTTGGGTAGATGTCCCAACATTACATAAGTGCATCAGGCTTGGCTCCTAGGCAGCCAGGTCAGAAGTGGATGGAAAGGTTAAATTGGGAAAGGTACTGCAACAAACAGGCCTGTTGATGGGTGAGAACCTTGGAGGTGGAAAAATACTCAAGGTTTTTGTGGTCCATCACCATGTCAATGGGTGAGGCAGAACCTTCTAGGTAATGCTGCCAATGGTGGAAGGCCTCAAAGGTAGCCAACAGCTCCTTGTCATGGGTATCATGGTTGAGTTCTGGCACAGTCATGGTGTGGGAGTAGAAAGTGATGGGGCAGAGTTCACCATTGGAGCAGGTGAGTGACAAAATGCCAGCAATGGCATAGTCAGAGGCATCAGTTTCAACTGTAAGCAGAGCATCAGGAACCCAGTGAGTGAGAATAGGAGTGGAGCTGAAGGCATCCTTCAGGTGGAGGAAGGTGGAGCAACACTCCTCAGAGAAGTTCCAAGGAGTGCCCTTTTGCATGAGGTGAGTGAGAGGAATGACAATGATAGAGTAGTTATTAATGAATCATCTGTGGAAGCTTTGTGAAGCTGAGGAAGGACTAGATATCTTGCACCTTCCACAGCTCAGGCCAGTTGCAGACTGCCTGAACCTTCTCAGCAGACATGGTGAGACTGGAGGGAGAGAGGACACAGCCAAGGTACTCAATGGAGCTGGAGTGGAACTCACACTTCTCTGGCTTGGCATAGAGACCATGCTTTCAAAGGCAGCAGAGTACCTATTTTACAGGGTCATGGTGTGACTCCATGTCCTGCAAATAAACTAGAATGTCATCAAAATATACCATGATGCAGATATTGAGCATGTTCACAAAGATGCTATTGACAAAATGCTGGAAAGCTGCAGGTGCATTAGTCAGACTAAAGGGCATTACCCACCATTCATAAGAACCATAATGAGTGCAGAAAGCCATTTTCCATTCATCTCCATCTGCAATGTGGACCAGATGATAGGCATGGCAGAGATCAATCTTTGTGTAGACTTTGGTACAGCTTGGGGAGTTGAGTAGGTTGGAGATGAGCAGCAGCAGATAGCAACCTTTCTTCATGATTTTATTGAGTCCTTGATAGTCTATGCAGAGGCAGAGTAAACTGTCTTTCTTCTTTACAAAGAGGACAGGGGCACCATGAGTGGAGGTGGACTGCTTGATGAAACCTATAGCCAAGATGCTCATCAATAAAGGGGCAGAGAGCTTCAAGCTCTGGCAGAGACAGAGAGTAGATTGTGCTGATTGGCAGAGAAGCTCCTTCCTTGAGATCAATCTTGAGATTGAATGAGTGGTGTGGTGGAAGTTTGGTAGCCTTGTCTTTGCTAAAGACATTGGCAAACTTGTGATACTCAGGAGGGACCAAGGAGAGGTCAGGAGGTGGAGATGAAGCAGAGGATGCACAAAGCTTCACATCATCAGTGGAGAGCTGTAAGCAGAACTGTCTAGAGCCAGGGAGAGCACATGCTCTGACATATGCAGCAGCATTGATGAGTGAGATGAGTGGAGCAGAATCTGGCAAGTCAGTTGGAGTTGCAGCCAGAGTGGAGGGTGTTGGATCTGGAGCAGAGGTTGCAGCAGAAGGTAATGAAGGTGCCTGGGGTGTTGGCATTCCCTGTAACAGTGGTTTGAATGATATATCCAATGGAGTAACATAAAATGAAATGGAGTTGACATTGCCAGAGGGAAAGTGGAGGGAAAAATCTACCTCTTGGGATATCACAGCATTTGTACTACCATCAAAAAAGCAGAGTGGAATTGGCAGAGAAACAGAAGAAACAGAAATGGAATGTTTTTTGATTATGGATGGGTCTCTAAAACAATGAGAAGAGCTGGAATTGATCAACACAGAAACAGTATCAACAGAATAATCAATGAGAGTTACAGATGGAAGTAATGAATTGGGACTAGAGAGAGCAGACACATTGAGGTGGATGTCCAGTTGCACACAGTTGGGGTCAACACTTCCTCCAGGCTGTGTGGACTCCCTGGAGGAGCAGACTAATTTTTTAGCTCTGCCTTCTCCATGGGTGGAGCAGGCAGAGTTCCAGCCATAGCTGCATGGGCTTTGGCTGTGTGAGAGGTTGTTAAGTATGGGTTTACCCTTGGGTGACCAGGCTTCAAGACCAGGTGACAGGGGCCAAGTCCAGGTGGCCAAAGTCAAGGCCAGGAGACAGGGGCCAAGTCCAGTTGGACTGGAGTTAAGGCTGGAGGTCAGGGGCTAAGTCCAGAGGACCAGACTTAAGGCCAGGAGTGCAGGAACAAGGCTGGTAGCATGGGAAACTGACTGGTCTTGGAGTGTGCACAGGGGGAATGCCAATCCAGAGTTTGATCTACCTCCCTTGGTCTCAGCTTATGTGCTGTACCCTTATG